AAGAAGTGACGTAGATCCAGCCCGTCCAGTTCCCAGCAGTATTTCTCGCTGCGCACATGCATCGCGTAAGTTTTCAGCCTGGGCCCCGATTCTTGATCGCCGGTGAAGCGTGCAGGTACCTCCACCTTAGGTAAGCTCGTGTAGCGGTATCTGCTACCCTCTTCTCCCAACGTCCTCCTCGACGCGCGCCCTGCTGATCCTTCTCCGATCTCGGCTCCCGAAGATCCTTCCTCTCCCGGCACACGCCAATTAGACGATCGCGCCTTCGGCGTTGTCACTTCCGCCGAGTTCGCACCTTCCAAGGTTTTCCTCGGCAAGCGCCGTTCTCCTCTGAGCGGTCGATCCGCTCTCATCGCGGACTCCTCCTCGCGCCGCTTCTCTTCGTCACGCGATCGCCGATCTCCCTGCTCCGGGTGGCTCGGCTCTCCCCGATTCTCTTCTTCCTCGGCTTCGGGCTCCGCCGGTCCCGCGCTGGCTTTCTCGGCCGCGCGATCTTCCTTCTCTCGGGAATTTTCTTCCCCTGGCAATCGGGTGCCGCTCCACAACGAGATTCCGGTCATTTAGACTTCTGTTTGTAAGAGATCTGCACTAGGACAAACGATGTCCCTAGTTCTCTGCACACCCTCTGTTTGGCCTCTCTTTAGTGGATCAAGATTTGCTCCAGCCGATTCACTAGTAGAAGAGCATACAGGCATACCACAGTAGCGAGAGAACAAACAGAAGTGGTTTAGCTCTGTCACTCTACGAGTTTTGTTGTTCCCCTCCCCGAATCGCACTAGGAGCACCTCCAACTGTGCATGAGACAACCCGTCAAACCTTTCTTGGTTTTCTCCGCCGTGAGGGCGCCCTGGGGTTTCCCTCGTGACCTGCCTTGCTTAGCTGGCCCTCTCCCCAACTCCCAACTCAGCTTGTCATGCCCCGCCGCCACGTCATTGTGGCCCCCATCCAACCGTACTTACCCCCTTTCGAGCCCTGCCTCGAGCTGTACCCTGAGTCCTCGGTTTCCTCGCGGTCTCCAACCTTAGCCACAACCACAGCTCTCTACACTCTTCGCGCTGTTACAATATTCCATATAACAATTTCAGTTCTATGGAATAATGCGACATGTTCACAAAATGATGAGCCACCTGCAATTATTTTGAAGCCTTTGATAGTAGGTATAAAAAATTAGTTTCCTCGGATTTCTTTTGGCTATCTAAAATTGGAGGAACTGTAGTTTGGAGGGGGTTCCAGCCCCTGAATTGAGCAGGTTTGAGATGATTGAGACACTGTAGGAGCATTCGCCCGGCTGGTACAGTGCACAGAAATCTCGAAGAAAGTGAGCAAGCCATATCTTGGGGTTGCACATCACGTGACCGAGATGCTGCAAGTGCAGCGGAATTCGCAGATTCGCCCGTATGGATGACCCATCTTGATCTAGCTGGCAGCAATTCTGCGTGCTAATTGGACTGGCCGTATCCTGCTTGGTACGCCACAGTGTTTTCTATAAAGTGGTTGGGAGATGTGTTTAACTTGTGGTGGTCCAGGCAAAAGTTACCATCAGACCTTGTTTTGTTTCGCACAATCTTTGCGATCTACTCAAAAAAACGGTGTCGTTTGCTGTGGAAATCAGTTATGAATTGCTGAAGAAGAGAGTTCGGAGCATGTTCGCAACACTTTGTGGGTGTTTTCAGCACCCGTGGGAACTATTTTACTGTTCAAAAAAATGTGTGAGATGCGATGATCTGTGCTCGAACCAACGGATGAACTGTTGCAGAACCGCGGCCCAGTCTGTTGTTTTTTACAGTTGTGTGTCGAAGTGCAGTGCTTATCTGACGTGTCCATCCATATGTTTTCTCGCCCACTCTCTTGCGCGTTCTGCAGGAATTTGGCGGTGCAAGCCAACAGCATCCATCACTTCCTCGTGAATTTGGCTTCCTTCCCTCTCCCCTCCCCTCCCCTCCCCTCATTCCGCCATCGTTGAGACTCCCGACTGTGGGGGGGGTTTAAGAGCGACGGCGGAAACTCATTCGATATCATGCCAACGCATGACTGCAACCAATGATGCCATGACACGCGCTCGTGCTTTGTGGAAGAAATAGCACGAGCAGTGGTTCCTTCCTTTCTGCGTTAGGTACAAGACTCAGACCGCGGCTCTGAAGTCTGGACACCATCTGAAGTGTGGACACTCTGGTAGCAATGAACATGTCTGATTGGCTGTCATGCTCCAAGATTTTTTGCAGCTTGTGCAATGAGCAATGATCGGGTGTTTTTACACGTCACTGAGGGGAAATTTTAGTTGATTGTGTCCAAGCTTCGCCCAGAAGCGCGACCTAAAAGGTCCCTTCAAAGTCGCACAACTCCAGTCGGTTTCAGCAGAATGGCCCAACTCTCCAAGACCTTTGAGCTTCGAACTAGATCCAACCATTTGTACATCCACCTCCCACCATCTTCATGACAGTTTCCCAAATTCCCAAATGCCCCTCGATGTTCTGTATACAGTGCACTCACTTTCGTCAAAATCGCAGACCGTGGCCCGCTTCGTTTGTGCTCGTGTTACGCTCGTGGTTGTGCAGGGGAGAGCTGGGTGGCACCGTCTGGCGGGGCGAGCCACCGCCGCACCCGCTCTCCCACCAAAAGGCACCACAAGGGCGGTACCACGCGCAGCAGTGTACACGCGTTCCCCAAGTACAGCGCACATCGATGGCAACATCCAGCGCATCAAAGGAACATGAAAGCCAACCATCATACTCGCATCACCGTATCAAAAGCCTTTGAATCCCACAAAACGTACTTTTGTTTACGCTTTTCAACTCAACTGACGCGGCACAAGCTCCACTTCAGAACATTTCTTCTCACCTTCCACGTGCTCAAGGCCATGGCTTCCATTCCATTCCATCTCCGCAATCTCGTTGGCTGTTCAAAAGCAGTTCTTCGTTTAGCAGAGCAGAGTCTCTCGTTTTCCATCTGCAGTGCACGCATGGTCATATCTCGCCGCGTTTCCATGATTAGGGTGGGCATAGTTTCTCGAGCAACTTCCCAACTCCAATCCCCAACGCCACGTAATCGACATTTCTTCATAGCATCAGCTCAGCACCATCGACCAGATTGTAGTAATCTTTAGACTCAGTTTTCTCGATCTTTATGTTGTAGACACGACAGCCCCCTTGCCTTAGCGCTTGACTAGCAGTGTTCAATTTTCAGAGGACGAAATCTCAGCCGTTCGCGAAATGTGTATATCCAACACACCATTGTCGTCAGCAGCCCCAACTCTCAACGACCACACGCGGCGCGTCTTGGAGGATCCACGTGACTTTATCTCCGCGTTTCACGGCGGTTCCAGGGACTCATCTCCCGGTAGCTCCATGCACGGCGGAGTTAGCGGAAAATCGATGCTGTCGCACACGCCGGCGCACACACTGTCGCCGCCGAATCTCAGTCCCCAAAGCGACCCCCCGAGCACCGGTAGTAGCAGCAATCGGCAATTCCGCCGATGCTCAAGCGTCGCCAGTGGTTATCCCGAGTCCACCGCAGCGGCTTCTAACGCGTATGTCGCCTCTCATGCACGCGTCAGCACCAGAGCTGCTCCTGAGCTTCAAGAGCTTCCGCACTTCACGCAGCCCTCTTCGATTCGTTCGGATCGCAGAGGCGCCGCGTTCGGTCATTTTAGCGCGAAGGCGGACGGTCTTAGAACTGAGGGATACGGAAGCTGGCGGGAGTGCGGCTCCGGGTCGCACATTAGAAGCCGAGCATCCGCCGCTGCTGCTGGTAGCATAATCGGAAATCGATCGGATGATTTCGCGGGATTGTCGGCTCGACGGAGCGAGGGCAGCGGATCGCAGCGGAGTTTGAGTCGCCTACTGATGCGCGAGCCCTCGGCGCATGGTTCCGCCGCTCCGTGCGCCAGCTTCCGCGAAGACAATTGCGCGGATGCGACCCTGGCGGAAGCGGCGACAGGAGGCCCCCAAAGTTGCGCCACGAGTTCAGCGGCGGGCGCGAATTTAACACAGAAGCGGAGAAGCGGCGTCTGCGCGGACGATCTGGCGGAAGCGGCGGCGGCGGCAGCGAAAGATCCTCAAATTCTTGCGCCATGGTCGTCGGTGTTTCTTGTAACGGTGGTGGCGATGGTGGTGGTGCTGCTGCTGCCAGCGATGTTGCCGCGCGTCGGTCCTCCGCCGGACGAGCTGCTGCTGCTGCCCGTGCTCGTGATAATCGTGGTGCTGACGCTCGCATTCACGCCCACTATAACCCGGTCCGATCCGAAACACGCGGTTGTGTTTTGAAAACCCGAGGCGGTTCCACCCGCGCATGCTGTCAGTGGTGCCGATAACGGTGATCCTGGATTTTGACGGCTAAAGCGCCGAATCGTACGGGCCGCGTGAGTAAAACCTTCTTAGGTGTTACGGCGAGGTGACTAATGCTGCGGCAAGTCCACCGCGTGCGGTGGTTGCGCCCTGCGGACGGGGGACTAGCGCGCGGAGAAAGAAGTTGCATTTGGTTGATTCTATCGGATGTTCCTAATGTTGCACTAGTTCGTACAGAATACCTTCTATTGCAGTTACTGTATATAATCATCCTTTATCAGCAGTTACGACTGTGGATGTGCTCGCTCTACAGTGAAATGCATCCAAAAAAAAAAATCATCCTTTATCACGAATGTGACTATCTTTGAAAGGCATCGCCTACCCCAGCACTCCCTGGAGGGAGCCACTGGCAACTGAACACGCTGCCTCCTAGCACATGCAGTTACAGTTAGGCGTATGGTGATACAGGAGGCTTATCCTCACTTTAGTCTCTAAAAAGGACAATCCCTGTACACTTCAGATCAGAACTCCGCCGTGTAGCACATGCGCATGCACCTTTTGGTGTATGGTAGGTACTGTAGGCCTATGCTTGCACCTTTCTTTGAATATGAAAACATCTGTGGTGCACTTCAAAACTCCGCCTCGTAGCACATGCGCATGCACCTTTTGGCCGACGATTGCGCAAATGGGATGTAGCTCAGCGAGTACCTGACGAGGTCAGGGAGAAGTAGGGATGGAGAACGAGAGAGAAAGAGGAGAGGGGGGTGGGGGGGACAGGGAGCGTGGCTTAGAAGATAATTGCGCAAAGGGGATGTAGCTTAGCGAGTACCTGACGAGATCAGGGAAACGACGGGAAGGGAAAGGAAAGAGAGAGGGGGGGGAGAGTGGGACTGAATGCGTTTCGTGCTTCTCATATTAAGCATACGTATTTGCATATGAAGAGAAGGAAAGTGAAGGGAAGTGAAACAAAGAGAAGAAAAGTGAAGCAAGAGATAAAATGCAAAGAATGCAACAGTACAGAGATGAGGCCAAAGAGTAGGAACATGGGAAAATGCTTATATGCAATCATACCATGTGATGTGCGTGTTCAAACCAGCACACATAAGGGCGGACGCGAAACCAAATGAGGCACACGCCACACAGCATGTAAGAGTGCATCACGTGCCATATGGGAGTGCATCACGTGCCATATGGGAGCGCATTCCACGAAGTCATAATGGCATACATGATACAAGGCATAACTTTCGAGGGCGCATGGCATACCATATGAGGGAACACGCTTGCACCAGTTATGCACCCTTCATGCTATAACATTCACGGTACATGGCATACCATATGAGGGAACACGCTTGCACGACGATGCAGAGAAGAGTGAGAAGGGCGTCTTGAACCTGCTCATGGTCAGGAGTCAAGGGAGAAGGGTAAATAACCCATGTAAATAGCAGCGAAATCACTCATGAAAAGTGTACGTCGATAACAGCACTGTATCCTTTTCATGCATATACACCAGAAGGGAGTGTGAGGATGTTCAGTGTATATCAATCTCATGGTAAATTACTCGTGGATACAATAGCGAATACGAGATGAACAGAAAAACCTTCGAAAGTGTACTTTCATGAAGTGCGGCAACGAGTGTGAGAACGAGTGAGAGGACAAAGACGCTGGCGCCACCAATTCGGGTGTAGTGAGGCGATCTTTTTAGCCCCTCATAAATGACTCACAAGGACAACAATGAGTATGAAAGTGTACTTACATAAAGAGCAGCAACGAGTGTGAGAACGAGTGAGAGGACAAATACAATGGCGGCACCGATTCGGATCGGGTCAAACATCATCTTGAGCTGCCGGGTGAAGCCTATCAGAAACCCTGTGCTGTTGCCAGTAGGGGGAGCGGGGGAGGACGGGGTCAAGGACGTGGGAGAGAGGGGACAGGGGAAAGGGAGAGGATCAATCAAACATCATCTTGAGCTGCCGCGTGAAGCCTATCAGAAACCCTGTGCTGTTGCCAGTAGGGGGAGCGGGGGAGGACGGGGTCAAGGACGTGGGAGAGAGGGGACAGGGGAAAGGGAGAGGATCAATCAAACATCATCTTGAGCTGCCGGGTGAAGCCTATCAGAAACCCTGTGCTGTTGCCAGTAGGGGGAGCGGGGGAGGACGGGGTCAAGGACGTGGGAGAGAGGGGACAGGGGAAAGGGAGAGGATCAATCAAACATCATCTTGAGCTGCCGGGTGAAGCCTATCAGAAACCCTGTGCTGTTGCCAGTAGGGGAATGGAGGAGGGAGAGAGGGGAAGAGGGAAAAAAAGTGGGAGAGTGTGGACGGGAGAAAGGACAAGGATCGGATCGGATGGGATCAAACATCATCTTGAGCTGCTTTTGAGTCGAGGTGTGTTTTGAGTCGAGGTGTGTTTTGAGTCGAGGTGTGTTTTGAGTCGAGGTGTGTTTTGAGTCGAGGTGTGTTTTGAGTCGAGGTGTGTTTTGAGTCGACTCAAAACACACCTCAAAAGCGGATGGGTGAAGCCTATCAGGAACCCTGTGCTGTTGCCAGCAGTGGGAGTGGGGGAGGACGGGGTAACGGCAGTGGGGATAGAGGCGGAGCACAGGAAAAGGATGGGTTCAAAAATCAACTCGATCTGCCGAGTGAAGCCTATCAGGCAACTGGTGCTGCTCCCATGGGGGTTAGGAGGGACGAGGAAGTGGGAGAAAGGAAGCGGGAGAGAGTAGAGAGAGATTAAAAAGATAAAATTTGGATCAAACATCCTCTTGAGCTGCCGGGTGAAGCCTATCAGAAACCCCGTGCTGTGGAGTGTAGATGGGGGAAAGGGACGTATGGGAAAGCTACCAGGAAAGGGAGGGTTAAAACATCATCTTGAGCTGCCCTGTGAAGACAATCGGAAACCCTGTGCTGTGCAATGCACTTCGGCACGTCCCCATGCCCAGGTGCATGCCTCTACTCTCATGGGTTGAAAGTAGGGTGGGTCCCCATGCCCTGACCTCACCTCACATCACCTGACCTGACCTCACCGCAAATCACCTCACTGCTAATCACCTCACCTCAACCTCTCACCAGCCAATAGCCATGAGGTTGCCGATCGAGTAGGTGAGAGCGAATTTCATGATCTGACCAGCTGTCTGCCAGGCCCTGACCTCACCTTACCTGCCCTGTCCTCACCTCACATCACCTGACCTCACCTCACCTGACCTCACCTCATCTCACCGCACCGCACCTCACCCTCTCACCTGCCAATGGCCATGAGGTTGCCGATCGAGTAGGTGAGAGCGAATTTGATGGGCGATGGGAACACAAGAATGGACTGGCGTTGGGATCAGTGGGGAGGGAAGGTGTGGAGGAGAAGGAGAGACTAAGCTTGATGGGCGATGGGAACACAAGAATGGACTGGCGTTGGGATAGGTGGGGTAGAGGGGTGGGGAGAAGGGGGAGGGGAAGGAGGGGGGAGGGGTGGGGGATGGGAAGTTGAGTGGCTGTGAGTAGGTGAGAGCGAATGAGATGAGCGATGGGAACACAAGAATAGAATGGCGTTGGGATAGGTGGGGTAGAGGGGTGGGGAGAAGTGGGAGGGGAAGGAGGGAGGAGGGGTGGGGGGTGGGAAGTTGAGTGGCTGTGAGTAGGTGAGAGCGAATTTAACGGGCGATGGGAACACAAGAATAGACTGGTGTTGGTATAGGTGAGGGAGTTGAAGGGGGAGTGGACGGGGGGTAAGGGGAAAGAGGGACGTTGTGTGGCTGGGAGTGGGGGATATGAGCTAGATGGAAGATGGAAACACAAGAATGGACTGGCGTTGGGATCAGAAGGAGAGAAGGGGCATGGGGAAGCAGGAGACGGTTATGGGAAAGCTGAGTGCCTGGGAGTGGGAGGCAAGACAGAACTTGATGGGCGATGAATTCGGTTATCGAAAGGAGACCACACAAAGGCGATCAACAAGTGAAGGTGGAAATGTGGTTACCATAAGCGTGCAGAAGATGCTGATGCAGAGACCAGTGGCGAAGCCATATACCATCGGAAGGTGGGTGTTGTAAATGGTTACCATCGTTACCAGCTACCACAGGAAGGCGGTTACCACACAAAAGCAGTCAGTCTACAAAAGGAAGGCGGTTACCATGAGCGTGCATAAGATGCCGATGCAGAGACACGTAGCGAAGCCGTATATTCTCTGAGACGCATTTGCAACAGACATGCAGCAAGGCATGTGGGGGGTGGAATGGAGAAGGGTATGACTTTTGAGTCGACTCAAAAGTCTTCTCTGAGACGCATTTGCAACATAAATGCAGCAAGGCATGTGGGGGGTGGAATGGAGAAGGGTATGACTTTTGAGTCGACTCAAAAGTCTTCTCTGAGACGCATTTGCAACATAAATGCAGCAAGGCATGTGGGGGGTGGAATGGAGAAGGGTATGACTTTTGAGTCGACTCAGAAGTCTTCTCTGAGACGCATTTGCAACATAAATGCAGCAAGGCATGTGGGGGGTGGAATGGAGAAGGGTACATAGAGGAGACTGAGATTTAGCAGCGTGATGCATGATGCAAATACATGATACATATTCTGTGACACACACGGTATATCACACGATTGATGCAAGGATTGACGGCTCTGGGAATTCTTTAGAGTTTCCAGAAATCACTCTGGAGAAAGGCACTGAGGGTTCCGAGCCATCCACCCGTCCGACCATCTCTCCATGCCCCCCCCCCTTTCCCTAATCCTCTCAAGAACACAACCATCCCACAGCCCGTGTCCACCACCATGTCCACCACCGTGGCCACCACCGTGGCCACCACCGTGGCCACCACCGTGGCCACCACCGTGGCCACCACCGTGTCCACCACCGTGGCCACCACCGTGGCCACCACCGTGGCCACCACCGTGGTCACCACCGTGGCCACTACCGTGGCCACCACCGTGTCCTCCACCGTGTCCACCACCGTGTCCACCACCCTGTCCACCACCGTGTCCTCTTCTCGAGGCGCCCAAAAATCAGAATTTGAGGCGCCTAAAAAAAGGGTTCCGAGCCATCCACCAGCCCGACCATCTCCCTCGCATTCCCCTCAATCCTCTTAAGAACACAACCATTACCCCAAAATAAAGGGGTAATGGTCATAATGTTCTCCAACACCAATCCCACAGCCCCTGCCCACCACCGCGTTCCCCTCTCTCACACCGGCTTCAACAAGGCAACTCTCGACCCGACTCGAACGCTCACAGCTCAGGCCGAACTGAAGGGCCTCAAACAGGAGCAGAGAAACTCACCTGCTTCTGCGTGAGCGAGCAGCGCTGGTTCAACTCGTCCAGAATCGACGGCTCCGGGAGAGACTGAACTGAAGGGCCTTGGTAAGAGTGAAAGGAACGCACCTGCTTCAGCGTGAGCAAGCACTACTGGTTCAACTCGTCTAGAATCGACGGCTCCAGGGGAGGCGCCGAGGGTTCCGCCGAGGCATTTACCAGTCCCACCATCTCCCTCGCCTTTCCCACAGCCGCCTGCGTTTTTTCCACCACGGCGCCCTTCGCCCTGTCTACCGCTTCACCCAGGTGACCCTCGACCCGACTGGAAGGCTCAAGCTCAGGCCGAATTCAAGGGGCCTTGAACGAGAGCCGAGGGACGCACCTGCTTCAGCGTGAGCGAGCAGTACTGGTTCAGCTCGTCCAGAATAGACGGCTCCGGGGGAGGCGCCGAGGGTTCCGCCGAGGAATCCACCAGTCCCACCATCTCCCTCGCCTTCCCCACAGCCTTCCCCGCGGCCTTCCCCCCTGCCTTTCCGCTGGCGTTCTTCCCCCCTTCCCCGCCTTCCTACCAGACAACCAACAGGAGAGAAGGAACGCACCTGTTTCAGCGTCAATGAGCAGTACTGGTTCAGTTCGTCCAGAATGGAGGGTTCCGGGGGAGGCGCCGAGGGTTCCGCCGAGGCATCCACCAGTCCCACCATCTCCCTCGCCTTCCCCACAGCCGCCTGCGTCTTCTCCACCACGGCGCCCTTCGCCCTGTCTACAGCCTCCGCCATCACCTCCTTGAAGAATCCCAGGTTCGCCATGTCGCTCGATCGCTGTGCGACTGCTGTGCGACTGCTGTGCGGCTACTTCGCGACTGTGCGATAAGTGTGCGAGTCCGAGGCAGTCGACGTGCGACCGTTCGCTTGCTCTCTAAGTTCGCCCGCCGCTATTCGACCTTTTCGGTGACGTCTGGCTTCTTTGATGCACTAAACCTTGGCCAGAGTATCCTACTAATACATTTTGAACCTGGACTTTGTCGTCTACACAAACGTTCGAAATAAAGTCTAGCTAGAACGGCTCGTTCCCAATCTTTATAGCTGAACTCAAGACACCGACATACTTAGCAGGTCATGATGAACGATGGCAGGAGGATATCTACTCAAGACTTTGCTTGTCTGGCTTGTCTAGCAGAATAATTTGAGCATGAAAAGAACGGGAGTCTCATGGATGACTATGAAAGAACGGGAATCTTATGGGATCTGAACACCCTGAGACTTTCCAGTGCTCTTTCAGGTATTTCATCCGCTCAAATCCACTACAACTCTAGAAGCCTCGTCGGCTGACACAAGTCTGACAGCCTTGGGTTGTTGAGCTATGCTGAAGGATTCAATGGCAATTTCAGAAATTTCAGAAGTCGATTTTTTTAATCACGCTTTTCAAGCAAAACGGAGTTTCTTGTTCACACTTAGAGACCCCCTTAAAGTTCAGACTGAACCGCTCTGATGTAGTGCTCCGCCGACGCAAGGACGGAGACATAGGATGGAGCGATACCCCCAAATGCGTGGAAAACACCACATGTTTCCGAATTCAGGGCAGCCTAAAATGCACGAATTTGAAAAAGCCTGACTGCTGACGTCTAGGACAACCGTTGCCGCAACTATGATCGGTTGAGCTGAAAACCACTGGTCCCCAACCCCAACGGTCACCAGGAAAAAGCGCGTGTACTTCCACCCAACTCGAGATGGTATAAATAGAAAAAAAATCACAGAACTGAGAACGAGGTTGTTGCAATCGAGTATAAAACCTAGGAGATAGTTTCTCGCTCTCGATATTTTCCTGATCAAAATTCCAGATCCATTCTGGCTTTCTAGCCTAGACCATTCGTTCCAGTTGTTCCACCCTCGAGAGGTTTCTTCTTCCGCGAAAGCCGGGCTCCGAAACAGGCTGCATTGTCACTGGAACAGACTGAATCGTTCCAAGGTCAGGGTGCTATTACCTGCCAAATGGCGTCAGCTATTTCCGCCGCCGCTAGCTCTATAATCACATTCAGCCACAGTCGCACCGTCGCGGTGGTTTCGCGCGCGGATTCCCGCCATTCTTCCATGATATCCGCTCGTGGTGCTACATCCGCGCGGCTACAGCCCTACACCCCCCAAGTGGGCCGCCCGGGCTACAGCGAGAGCCTTTCCAGCCGGCAATTCACCCTGCGCCGGTCGCTCGCGGAGCGGAAAGCATTCCGCGGAATTGCAGCCTCGCGCGGAACAGTCTCCGCAAGGAAGGCTGTTATGGTTTCCGCCATCCGCGGCGGCGGCGGCGGAGGCGGCGGCGGAAGCGGAGGGGACGACGTGACGGAATGGTGGGAGCGCGAGGAGAGGCGCTGGGAGCGCGAGCAGCAGCGGTGGGAGCGGGAAGAGCTGCGGTGGGAGCGCGAGGAAGCGCGGTGGGCGCGCGAGCGCGCTTCCCTCGAAGCGGAGATCGCGGCGCTCGAAGCGGAAGTGGAATCTCTCCGCGCCGCGCTCACAAGCGCGGGGGGAGGGGGGCTGGCGCAGAGCCCCACCCCCCTCCTCCCCCAGGCGCAGGCGCAGCTGGCGGAAGCGGTAGGCGGGGAAATAGGCGGAGGATTAGGGGGAGCCGGGGGAGTGGGGAGTGATCTATCGAAGCAGCAGCTGCTGGTGCTGCTGCGGGGACTAACGCACCTGCTACAGATAACTACGGATAGCCACCGAGCCAGCGAGGTAGCCACGTCAGCAGCAATTCCCACGTCATCAGGAGTGATTGCTGGCGCAGGTGCGGAGAGCCTGCTACAGCTGTTGGGGCCAACGGCTTCATCTACGGGTAGTGCTACAGCTGGAGGAGCTACAGCCGTTGATGGTGTTAGATCTACGGCTGGTGTTGCAGGAGCAACTGCAGAGGAAATTTTGAGGAACGTTCCCGATGCTGACATCATCGCGGCTGTGGCGTCGCGCACAGTGAACCCGCTCCCTGCTGACGTGGACGAGGGCGGCGCTGACGTGGCAGGGGGCGCAGGGAAGCAGGAGGAAGGCGCGAGAAAAGTTCAGCGGAAGCTGAATCGGGGGCTGTATGGTGATGACGTGGCTCAACTGCAGGTACAGTGATGTTTGGAATATGTCATTCATACATTACATAAGTGAGACATAAATATACATACATATATATATATATATATTATTGGCTAAATGTTGCAGTGTGAATTGGGGAGCGTATGGAGAGGACCTGCAGAAACTACTGGTAGGCTGTCATTGTTGGAGGAAGCCAGGGGTTCTACTGCGGGGAGGAGGACGAGGAGGAGGATGCATCGTTTGCTCTCTCACTCTCACTGCTTGTGTGTGTTCTTGTATGAAACCATGTGCCTGCAGGCTGCATTCGCATGGCAGGGGTTCTATGTGACGCTGTGTGTGTGCCTGCAGGCTGCATTGGCCCGTCAAGGGTTCTACTGTGGGGAGGAAGAAGAGGAGGGGGATGCGTCCTCTGGGTCCCTCACTTAAGAAGAGATATATTATATGCATAGATGATCACAAAACCAGGAGACGCGTTTCGCATGTTCGTGTGTGCCTGCAGGCTGCGTTGGCCATTCAGGGGTTCTACTGTGGGGAGGAGGAGGAGGATGCGTTCTTTGGTTTGCTCCCTCACTCCTTGTGTGTGTTCTTATATGAAACCATGTGCCTGCAGGCTGCGTTGGCCATTCAGGGGTTCAAGTGTGGGGAGGAGGAGGAGGAGGAGGAGGAGGAGGAGGAGGAGGAGGAGGAGGAGGAGGAGGAGGAGGAGGAGGAGGAGGAGGAGGAGGAGGAGGAGGAGGAGGAGGAGGAGGAGGAGGAGGAGGAGGAGGATGGGTCCTTTGGTTTGCTCTCTCACTCACTGTGTGTGTTCTTGTGTGAAACCATGTGCTTGCAGGCTGCTTTGGCCCGCCAGGGGTTCTACTGTGGGGAGGAGGACGAGGAGGATGAGTTTTTTGGCGCCAACACTGAGAGTGCTGTCAAGACGTGGCAGGTGAGGGAGTGATAGGACTCATGGCAGGTAGGCAGGTAGGCAGGTAAGGGAGTGCCACGGCAGGTAAGGGAGTGCCACGGCAGGTAAGGGAGTGCCACGGCAGGTAAGGGAGTGCCACGGCAGGTAAGGGAGTGCCACGGCAGGTAAGGGAGTGCCACGGCAGGTAAGGGAGTGCCACGGCAGGTAAGGGAGTGCCACGGCAGGTAAGGGAGTGCCACGGCAGGTAAGGGAGTGCCACGGCAGGTAAGGGAGTGCCACAGCAGGTAAGGGAGTGCCACGGCAGGTAAGGGAGTGCCACAGCAGGTAAGGGAGTGCCACGGCAGGTAAGGGAGTGCCACGGCAGGTAAGGGAGTGCCACGGCAGGTAAGGGAGTGCCACGGCAGGTAAGGGAGTGCCACGGCAGGTAAGGGAGTGCCACGGCAGGTAAGGGAGTGCCACGGCAGGTAAGGGAGTGCCACGGCAGGTAAGGGAGTGCCACGGCAGGTAAGGGAGTGCCACGGCAGGTAAGGGAGTGCCACGGCAGGTAAGGGAGTGCCACGGCAGGTAAGGGAGTGCCACGGCAGGTAAGGGAGTGCCACGGCAGGTAAGGGAGTGCCACGGCAGGTAAGGGAGTGCCACGGCAGGTAAGGGAGTGCCACGGCAGGTAAGGGAGTGCCACGGCAGGTAAGGGAGTGCCACGGCAGGTAAGGGAGTGCCACGGCAGGTAAGGGAGTGCCACGGCAGGTAAGGGAGTGCCACGGCAGGTAAGGGAGTGCCACGGCAGGTAAGGGAGTGCCACGGCAGGTAAGGGAGTGCCACGGCAGGTAAGGGAGTGCCACGGCAGGTAAGGGAGTGCCACGGCAGGTAAGGGAGTGCCACGGCAGGTAAGGGAGTGCCACGGCAGGTAAGGGAGTGCCACGGCAGGTAAGGGAGTGCCACGGCAGGTAAGGGAGTGCCACGGCAGGTAAGGGAGTGCCACGGCAGGTAAGGGAGTGCCACGGCAGGTAAGGGAGTGCCACGGCAGGTAAGGGAGTGCCACGGCAGGTAAGGGAGTGCCACGGCAGGTAAGGGAGTGCCACGGCAGGTAAGGGAGTGCCACGGCAGGTAAGGGAGTGCCACGGCAGGTAAGGGAGTGCCACGGCAGGTAAGGGAGTGCCACGGCAGGTAAGGGAGTGCCACGGCAGGTAAGGGAGTGCCACGGCAGGTAAGGGAGTGCCACGGCAGGTAAGGGAGTGCCACGGCAGGTAAGGGAGTGCCACGGCAGGTAAGGGAGTGCCACGGCAGGTAAGGGAGTGCCACGGCAGGTAAGGGAGTGCCACGGCAGGTAAGGGAGTGCCACGGCAGGTAAGGGAGTGCCACGGCAGGTAAGGGAGTGCCACGGCAGGTAAGGGAGTGCCACGGCAGGTAAGGGAGTGCCACGGCAGGTAAGGGAGTGCCACGGCAGGTAAGGGAGTGCCACGGCAGGTAAGGGAGTGCCACGGCAGGTAAGGGAGTGCCACGGCAGGTAAGGGAGTGCCACGGCAGGTAAGGGAGTGCCACGGCAGGTAAGGGAGTGCCACGGCAGGTAAGGGAGTGCCACGGCAGGTAAGGGAGTGCCACGGCAGGTAAGGGAGTGCCACGGCAGGTAAGGGAGTGCCACGGCAGGTAAGGGAGTGCCACGGCAGGTAAGGGAGTGCCACGGCAGGTAAGGGAGTGCCACGGCAGGTAAGGGAGTGCCACGGCAGGTAAGGGAGTGCCACGGCAGGTAAGGGAGTGCCACAGCAGGTAAGGGAGTGCCACGGCAGGTAAGGGAGTGCCACGGCAGGTAAGGCAGTGCCACAGCAGGTAAGGGAGTGCCACGGCAGGTAAGGGAGTGCCACGGCAGGTAAGGGAGTGCCACGGCAGGTAAGGAGTGCCACGGCAGGTAAGGGAGTGCCACGGCAGGTAAGGGAGTGCCACGGCAGGTAAGGGAGTGCCACGGCAGGTAAGGGAGTGCCACGGCAGGTAAGGGAGTGCCACGGCAGGTAAGGGAGTGCCACGGCAGGTAAGAAAGGGATTGCCACACCTTTTTGTGCTTCCTCCTTGCCTGCTTCTGGTCTTGGGTGCTACCGCCTTTCCCTCGACTCTGGCTCACTCCCTCCTTCACTCCCTCCTTCACTCCCTCCTTCACTCCCTCCTTCACTCCCTCCTTCACTCCCTCCTTCACTCCCTCCTTCACTCCCTCCTTCACTCCCTCCTTCACTCCCTCCTGCACTCCCTCCTTCACTCCCTCCTTCACTCCCTCCTTCACTCCCTCCTTCACTCCCTCCTTCACTCCCTCCTTCACTCCCTCCTTCACTCCCTCCTTCACTCCCTCCTTCACTCCCTCCTTCACTCCCTCCTTCACTCCCTCCTTCACTCCCTCCTTCACTCCCTCCTTCACTCCCTCCTTCACTCCCTCCTGCACTCCCTCCTTCACTCCCTCCTTCACTCCCTCCTTCACTCCCTCCTTCACTCCCTCCTTCACTCCCTCCTACACTCCCTCCTTCACTCCCTCCTTCACTCCCTCCTGCACTCCCTCCTTCACTCCCTCCTTCACTCCCTCCTTCACTCCCTCCTTCACTCCCTCCTTCACTCCCTCCTTCACTCCCTCCTTCACTCCCTCCTTCACTCCCTCCTTCACTCCCTCCTTCACTCCCTCCTTCACTCCCTCCTTCACTCCCTCCTTCACTCCCTTCTTCACTCCCTCCTTCACTCCCTCCTTCACTCCCTCCTTCACTCCCTCCTTCACTCCCTCCTTCACTCCCTCCTTCACTCCCTCCTTCACTCCCTCCTTCACTCCCTCCTTCACTCCCTCCTTCACTCCCTCCTTCGCTCCCTCCTTCGCTCCCTCCTTCACTCCCTCCTTCACTCCCTCCTTCACTCCCTCCTACACTCCCTCCTTCACTCCCTCCTTCACTCCCTCCTTCACTCCCTCCTTCACTCCCTCCTTCACTCCCTCCTTCACTCCCTCCTTCACTCCCTTTTTCACTCCCTCCTTCACTCAACCTGTGAGGTGCCTTAGAACTCTTGACTGCCGCCGCGTTTCCCTCTTTTCTGCCTCACTCATTCCTTCACTCCTTCACTCCATCTCTTCCTTTTACACAAGGCTCGCGTGAGTTCTGTCTTGATGGACCGCACGGGCAACTCCCCGCTGCGACTCTCCTCCTTCCATTACTCGCTTCTAAAGGTAACCTTTGAGTCGACTCAAAGCACTTTCTGCCTCGCTCCTTCCGTCACTCCCACTCGTAAGGCTCGCCTGGGTTCCGTCTTGATGAAACTCACGGGTCTTGATGGGGTGGGTGAGCTTTGATGGCACCCTGTGAGGTTCAGGCTCATCAAGAAGAGTAAGCCTTCATGAACCGCACGGGCAACTCCCCGCTGCGACTCTCCTCCTTCCATTCCTCGCTCCTAAAGGTAACCTTTGAGTTGACTCAACGCACATTCTGGCCCACTCTCCTTCCTTCACTCCCACTGAGCTAAGACGGCATTATCACACCACCTCCTTCCCTTTTCCTCCCCCCCCCCCAACAATATCTCTCCCCCACCTTCCCCCCCATGCGCTGCTCCCATCTCCTGGCAGCCATGTAGCTTCAGCAAGATGGCATTGTCTTACCGGACCTCTTCTCTCTCTTCATGAAAGCCTAGCCTCCCCTCTCCCCAATCTACTTCCCCTCTTCCCCCTCTTCTCCTCCTCTCCCCCATACGGCTCCCATCTCCAGGCAGCCAGGCAGCTTCAGCAAGATGGCATCGTCACACCACAGCCCTCCTACCCCTTATCCCCTTATCCCGTTATCCCCTTCTCCACTTTCACTCCCCATGACTTTTGAGTCGACTCAAAAGTCAGCTTCAGCAAGATGGCATCGTCACACCACAGCCCTTCTACCCCTTATCCCCTTATCCCCCTATCCTTCTGCACTTTCACTCCCCATTCTACTACTGTCTCCCTTCAGACAACCATGCTGCTTCAAGAAGGCGGAATTGTCACACCCGGCCTCTTGTCTCTCCATATGATTCGACTCAGAAGTTCCCCCTCCTCCTTTCTTCTTCCCTCTCCTCCTTTCTGAGAATTTTCAAGAACCATGCAGCTTCAGGGAGATGGTATCAGCACACCAGGCCTCTATACTCTCCATGAAGGCATAGCCTCTCCCCCTCTCCCTTCCTCTCCCCCATACTGCTGCTGTCTCCCTTCAGGTAACCATGCAGCTTCAAGAAGATGGTATCAACACACCAGGCCTTTTCTCTCTCTCTTACACCTTTCCCCCTTTCCCCCTTCCCACCTCGTCTCCCTTCCTCTCCCCATACTGCTACTGTCTCCCTTTAGGCAACTATGAAGCTTCAAGAAGACGGAATTGTCACACCGGCTCTCTTCGCTCTCCTCGTTGGCTATCCCGAATCAGTCGCCGAACCAGCGACCAAACCGACCCCCGAACCTGCTCCCGAACTTCCCACAAAGCCTTCAACCAAGCCCTCCTCCTCAGCACCCTCCGCAGAGTCAGCGTCCCCCCGCGCCCCTCCTGCCACCCGGGAGAAGCGAGAGATAGAGAGATACGCTAGGAGTGATCTAGAGATGGGGCAGAGGCGGGTGTTTCTGCTAGGGGAGAATCGCTGGGAGGACCCGAACACATTGATTGGTCGAGGCAGGGAGGAGGAGGAGGGGAAGGAGGAGGGCGGGGAGGAGGGGGAGGAGGAGAAGGGGGACGTGGAGGGGAAGGGGAAGGGGAGAGGAGGGAGGGATTTGGTGGATGTTAAGGGGAAGGGGAAGGGGAAGAAGGGGAAGAAGGGTGGAGAAGGGGGGTTGAAGCCTGTTGTTGTCTCGTGCTATCAGTGCAGAGGGGAAGGCAACGTGGTTTGCATGGGTACGTCGGTGTGTGTGGGTTGATGTATGTGCACGCGCGGTGGCTTTTGAGTCGACTCAAAAGTCACCACGTCGGTGTGTGTGGGCTGATGTATGTGCACGCGCGTGTGTGTCTGTGTCACTTGTGTGTGGGTGTTAGAGGCATATGCTCTTGGGCTCAGAATTGGTTGAAGCCTGTTGTTGTCTCGTGCTTGGGGGAAGGCAGAGGGGAAGGCAGCGTTGTTTGCAAGGGTGAGTTGATGAGCTTGGGTTGACATGTGTGTGTGTCATGCGAGCATGTGTTGTTTGCAGTTTATGTGTGTGGGTGCTTGAGGGGAGGGGAGGGGGGGTTGAACGTTGCACTCCCTTTTCACTCCCCTGTTTGAGGCTTATGTGTGTCTCATGCGTGCATGTGTAGTTTGAGGCATGTATGTGCGTGTGTGTGTGGGTGCTTGAGGGGAGGGGAGGGGGGGTTGAAGCCTGCTGCTATCTCGTGCTACCAGTGCAGAGGGGAAGGTAACGTTTTTTGCATGGGTGCGTTGGTGTGTGTGGGTTGATATGTGTGTTTCGTGCTTGTGTGTGTTGTTTGAGGCATGTATGTGCGTGTGGGTACTTGAGGGGAGGGGGAGTTGAAGCCTGTTGTTGTCTCGTGCTACCAGTGCAGAGGGGAGGGTAACATTGTTTGCATGGGTGCGTTTGGTGTGTGTGTAGTGTGGATGCTTTAGGAGAGTCCTGGATGTTCATACAAGAACATTCTATATACGTCCTTGATTGATAAGGGGCAAGGGGGAGAGTGAACTGTTTCTTGATTGCGTACTTGCCAACCCCCCCTTGCCCACTCCCCCTTGCCCCTTCTATCCTCTTCTTATACCGTGCACTCCCTTTTCCTTTTCCGTTTGCAGAGTGTGAGGGCACTGGGTGGGGACCTTGACAGACTATCGAGACGTCTCAAATCCCTCAACCTTAACTCCTTTCCCTGAACTTGTCATTTTCCTTGGCAGAATGTGAAAGCACTGGGGATCTTAACATCAAGGAACAGGTATACCCACATCCCTCCTCTCCTTAACCCCACTCCCCCTTTTTTCCCCCAACCTTCCCCCCTCGTTTTCTCCTTGGCAGAGTGTGAGGGCATTGGGGGTCTTAACATTAGAGGAACAGCTTACATCACTCCCCCTTGCCAACTCCCTCTTGCCTTTCCTTGATCTCTCGCCCCTGTATTTATACCTTGCACTCCCTTGTTGCTTCCCTGTGCAGAGTGTGAGGGCACTGGGGGGACCTTAACATGGGGGAACAGGTGACCCCACCCACATCAATAATTCTCACCCACCTTCCTTCCCTCCGTGCCACCTTCTCCTCCCTTGCGCTCCCTGGTCGCTTCCCATTGCAGAGTGTGAGGGCACTGGGGATTTTAACATCGAGGAACAGGTAACACCACATCCCGCCTCTCCTTCACCCCACGCCCCCCTTTTCCCCCCCAACCTTCCCCCTTGTCACGCCCCTTTGCAGAGTGTGAGGGCACGGGGGATCTCAACATCGAAGAACAGGTAAGTGATTTGTGAGTCGATAGAACAGAGGTGACTTTTGAGTCGACTCAAAAGTCAACAGGTAAGCGATTTGTGAGTCAATCGAACAGTCGACTCAAAACCCTTCCCATTGCAGAGTGTCAGGGCACGAGGGACCTTAACATCGAGGAAACAGGTACGGTAAACCCACATCCCTCCGATGGTTTAGGAGAGCGTCGGGGAACCAGGGGCGTCTACTTATGTGAAGCACTCCCAACTTTTTTTTTCATACGTTTATTTGCTTTTGATTTCTGCCCTCTTGTGTAAATTCCGGCCTGGAAGAGCTTATCTCGTCATATGGGGGCGTGTGACCTCTTTAAACATCAATTGGCCAATGTTTAGTTGTACTTCCTTTACTTTTCTCCCCTTCCTCGTATTCCGTGCAGTTTCTCGATTGGGTGGAGGAAGGTGCTTGTTGCCTCTATTGCAACGGTACTGGGGCCATTACATGTGATTTGTGCGATGGCTCTGGGAAATGAGTATCTATTTTTAGTATATCTGATGGGTATGGAATATGTTCGGATTCACTGTTTCGCAGTCTTTTGACAGTGCAACCGACATCGCATTTATCGCGGAAGTTGTAGAATTCTCTTCTGCGGTTGCGGAATTCCAGGGATGTGGTGGCCGAGACACACGCTCGAAGTCCAGAATGTGCTGCAAACCTTGTAACGAATGCAGCCACGCGCCCTCCACAGCGATGTCCACTCTGCAGAATACACGTGTACTACTATGTGCTGTTAACAGTTTGCGCAACGACACGAGTCGCATCGCTCTACGCGATGTTGCTGAGTAACCGCACGCCTCGACAAGGCAGCTCAGCAAATTGGCAGACTTTGCTGAGTGCGAAATGGAGTTTCGCAGGTCGTATGACTCATCTGCTCCACTCGAGTGTCAATCGACGGTCCATCGACGAATTCCTCCAAGATCGATCGATGATCCGTCGGTTCTCCGCAGAAATGGCTTTACGGAAATTGGACAAATCGCCGGCCTCCTCCAGCCAATACTATAAAATACCCGTCAATTGAAGTCTTCAGTTCAGTTCAGACTCTCAACTCGACTCCATTCCTTCCAGCTCACTCATATTTCTTGCACAACAGCCTGAGCATTGCAAGAAGCACACAGTAAGAGGGAGCAGATATCACCTTCTCGAGATAGAAACTGCCCCAGAAGTGACGTGTCCTTGAACTTGGCTCTTCGAGCTCTTCTGGTTTCCTTTCAGGCATAGTGGGATTCAATCCAATATTGCAAGCCACAGAATTTGTACAATGACCCCAGCGGATAAGTCCCTCCAGCTTCTCAGCCCATCGTCAAGGCTCCGGAAAATGGCAGTGGATTCTTCTGGTTACGCTTACCCCATTCTCAAAATCGCCTTCATTATAGTCACACTGGCCCTGCTGTGCATGTTCGGCACACGTGAGTACTACGAGGTGCAAGAGCAAATCAAAGAGTTTTACGACGAAATCGAAAAGGCGCCGTGTAACAACACCGCAATCCTGTACATCTCCCGATCGAAATATTTCTTCTGCCCGATAGACCCCTCGGCTTCCGCGGAGGCAGCTGCAAAAAGGACGGAAGCGGGACTTGCGGCGGCAAGGGCGGCAAATCAGCCTTCGAAAAGCAGCGACACGGCAGCTGTCGACGAGGAGATTGAAGAGCACGAGCCGCCACGCGACGGATGCGAAGAAGCGTGGGAGTGGTTCACCGACAGCAGCGGTGGTAGCGACGGTGGCGGAAACATCGGCGGGGATGACGGAATTAACGGTGACGAGTCGGCTCCGCGTGGAAGAAAGCTCCTACAATCCCGGAGACGCGCGAAAAGGTCGCCAGTGGATTACGAGGCAAATGACCCCAGCGGCGTTGACTTTGACGACCAGAATCCGTCCACATACCCGCCCACGTGGACGCGCGCTTCGGGAATTCCGCGGCGCGAGCGCGGGAAGAACTGCAAGTCGGAGTGGGTTACGTACTCCACCTTTTCCGCCGTGGGACTTAATCGCCTCGCTGACGTCACCAGCATGATTGACCTGCCGCTCGCAGTTGTCGGGTTGCATCAACCGTGGAACGGATTCCGTCCCCGTCTGGTAGCCGTGCTCGAGTACGTCCAAAGCTTGCCGCCCGACCGCATCGTCATCGCGACAGACGCGCTGGATGTAACGCCCGTGCCGTCCTGTACCGCGGACCGTATCATCTCGGCGTTTCTGAGTTTCAACGCGCCGATCGTTTTCGGGGCAGAGCCGTACTGTTTCCCGGATAGAGTCGAGGATAAGTACCCGCCGCTCCCGCCGGAAGCGGCGGCGGTAAACACGCAGTTTAAGTACCTCAACGCAGGGACGTATGTAGGATACGCATGGGCGGTCACTGTGGCGCTTAAAGCCGCTTTAGCGAACCCCGTTAATTGGTTTGACGATCAGCGGGAGTACACTCGGTTGTTCCTAAACCAAACGCAGCTGCTGCCGTTCATATCCAAATGGGAGTACGAGCAGCAGATCAGTTTGCGGCGGCGTCTGCGGCGCGAATGGCGGTTCGAAGATAAAATCTGGAAGTGGCGGCGCGTGGTGAAGACTATGGAGGCGCGACTCGCGGCGCGGCCCGTGATCGTTCTAGATCACATGAACGGCTTGGTTCAGAACCTTCTAGGGACCAACGATGAGGATTACGAGGTCGTTGACTTGAGGGATATTCAACGGCTGCAGCAGCAAGAAGGGGAGGAGAGGAACGGCCTTGCCAGTACCAGCGGCGGCGGCAGCAGGCAAGCGCAGCCCTTTCCCCCGATTCTTCCCCGTTCGCCCCTCCCCGCGTGGCCATCCGCGCTGCACCTGGGGCTGCGCAACAGACACACGGGGGGTTTCCCGTGCCTTTTGCACGAGCAAGGGGAGAAATTTAACAACACGCTGCCCGTGCTACAGCTGCTGGTGCGGCTACAGATTGACGAGGCGCGGGCAGCCAAGGGGTACATTCCGTGGTGGCGTGTTGGGTGGCTGCACAGAGTGGGCAAGTATAAGACATGATGCGGTTGTGGAGTGTATGAAGCCAAGTTACCCGTGCTACAACTGCTGCTTATGCAGCTACAGATTGACGAGGCGCAGCCAGGCAAAGGGTACATTCTTTGGTGGCGTGTGGGTTGGCTGCACGGAGCGGGAAAATATAAGACATAATGCGGTTTTGGAGTGTATGAAGCCAAGTTACCCATGCTACAACTGCTGTTTATGCGGCTACAGATTGACGAGGCACAGTCAGGCAAAGGGTACATTCTTTGGTGGCGTGTGGGTTGGCTGCACGGAGCGGGAAAATATAAGACATAATGCGGTTTTGGAGTGTATGAAGCCAAGTTACCCATGCTACAACTGCTGTTTATGCGGCTACAGATTGACGAGGCACAGTCAGGCAAAGGGTACATTCTTTGGTGGCGTGTTGGTTGGCTGCACAGAGTGGGCAAGTATAAGCCATAATGCGGTTCTTGGGTGTACGAGTCCAAGTTACCCATGCTACAGCTGCTGCTGGTGGGGTTACAGATTGACAAGGTGCGGGCAGGCAAGGGGTACATTCCGTGGTGGCGTGTGGGTTGGCTGCATAGAGTGGGCAAATATAAAACCTAGTGGTCCTTTTTAAGTGTATGAAGTCAAGTTACCCGTGCTACAGCTGCTGATCCGACTACAAATTGAAGAGGCATGGGCAGGCAAGGGGTACGGTACATTCCGTGGTGGCGTGTGGGGTGGCTACATAGAGTGAACAGATATAGAAACTAGTGCGTTCGTTTAGGGTGTGTTAAGCCACTGGTGCTACAACTGCTGGTGTTGGGGCTACATATTGATGACTCACGGGCAGGCAAGAGGTATGGTACGGTTCTTGGTGGCATTGTGGTGGTGGCTGCATAAGAATGGCAAGTATAGAAATTAGGATGCATTTGGAGTGTGATGTCAGTTGCCCCTACTAGGGCTGCGGTGCAGCTACAGATTCTCTTGCTCCGTCCCTTGCTTTTGTATTGCTTTGCCTGAAGCATGTTATTCCTAATCAGGTCCCCTCTTGCTTGTCATGTCCAGTTTCCTGCACAGAGGATAAATAAATACCGATGCTGATCATAGCACATACATGTACGGTACGTATTAGGCAAATGGCTTATATACGCCATATGGACACTCTACATCATGCATCATAGGCACCATGTAATGCCTGACAGAATAGCCTTTCCTACTCCACACACTCAGCTCAATCTGCACCAGTGCCACAGCAGAAAGAAACCTCTCCCCTTAGCACCAGTCCCATCACTCCCCCCACTCCCCCCACTCCCCCCACTCCCCCCACTCCCCCCACTCCCATCACTCCCATCACTCCCATCACTCCCGTCACTCCTCCACATACTCTGCTTATTCTGCACCAGTCCCACAGCAGAAAAAAACCCCTACCATTAACCAGTCCCATCACACTCCCTTCACAACTCCCATGGCATGGGGACCTTACTTTCACGCCCCTCCTCCACCAGCAGTAGGGGTGCTGTTGCTAGTCATGTTAGCGTTCTTTCTGTCTAGACCCTTCTTGGATTTACCATACGGATAGACAGTAAACTTAACCTTCAATCCTGCCTTGCAATCGCCGATAAAGCTGCTCCCGAAGTAGATTGATGTTCCGACCATGTCTGGTTTGATCCAATACAGCATCCATCCGACTGGCGAGTAAGGGAAGATGAGTTTTGAGCCGGAGAAATCGCAGGCTTTATACTTGGCTTCGGATTCAAAGAGACGCACGTCGTGAGTGATAGGGCTCACCCAACGGAAAACTGCAGAGGAGGGAGGGGGAGGGAAGGGAGATGAGTTTTGAGCCGGAGAAATCGCAGGTGTTAAAGTTGCCTTCGGACTCAAAAGAGGCGCAAGTCGTGAGTGAGAGGGCTCACCCAACGGAACATTGTAGGGGAGGAAGAAATGGGTGTGGGGGGGGGGGGGAGGTAGGGATGGGGGATTGCGGCGGTTGAGGGAAGGTTGGAGTCTTGAGCCGGAGCAATCACAGCTTCTCCATTTGGCTTTGCATTCAAAGAGGCGCACATCGTGAGTCAGAGGGCTCACAGAGCACGTAATGGGTACAGCTTGGGTGGAGCCCGTCCCGTCCCACTGCACCCTGTGATGCCACGGGCGAGTGACCTGACTCCCCTGTCAGCGTTTTAAGTACACTCCACACATGCAATTCGCCATAAGTCAACTTGCACACTTACGCAAGACGTAATGAGGGTACAGCTTGGCCGGCGTCCAGTCCCACCGCACACCGCGGTGCCATGGGCGGACATGGTACGGCAGCACTCCCTGTACGCGTTTTAAGCGTACTCCATACACTCACTCTGTTAACCAACCCAACTTGTACACTTACGCAGAACATATTGAGGGTATAGCTTGGGGGGCGTCCAGTCCCACTGCACACCGCGGTGCCACGGGCGGATGTGGTATGGCAGCACTCCCCCCACCGTCACCTTGTACGTTCGCACTCCCGGGATTTCTTGCAGATCCCTTCGTGCAGCCTGGTGTGATATGGGGCAGAGGGGAAAAGAGGTGGGGGATTTGAGTCGCGAGAGCAAGCAGCACTCCCCCTACCATCACCTTGTACGTTCGCACCCTTGGGATCTCCTGAAGGACCCTCCGTGCAGCCTGCCAAGGTGTGAGGGGACAGAGGGGTGAGGCTGTCAGCAGCAGCACGCCCCCCACAGTCACCTTGTATGTCCGCACCCCTGGGATCTCCTGGAGCTGCCTGGGAGGGGAACAGAGGGAGAGGGAGGGTTGAGATACGAAGCAGGGAGTGGGAATGTGGTACGAAGGCAGCACTCTCCCCGGACTGTCACCGTGCACGACAGCAGCACGTGTTGTAAGTCGACTCGATAGCCGATTTTTGAGGCGCCTAAAAAATCACGACAGCAGCACGTGTTTATTGTCGTCTCGGAAGCCGCGCACGCAGAGACACACGCCCACCGTCAGCCTCCCCGGCGCGACTACCGTTGCGGTCGAAAGTAACCCCCCTCCGCGCAGCGTGCGGAGTGGGGGAGGGGGAAAAGGAGCGCGGGCAGCAGGGGCATGCCCCCGCCGTCAGGCTCCCCGGCGCTACAACCGTTGGGGTGGACAGTACCCCTCTCCGCGCAGCGTGCGGTATGGGGGAGGGGGAAAGCGGAGGGGAAAGCGCGGTGCGGGGGGAGTGTCGCGCACGGCAGAGGCCCGCCCCCAACGATATCTCCAGAGGCTCCCCCGGCGCGCGAACCGCTGGAGTCTATTGGAGCTCCCTTCCTGCAGCGCGCAGTGCGGCCGCGGGGGAGAAAGCGGAGAGAGAGCGCGGGTGGGGGGTTGATGGTCGCGCACGGCAGGGACCCACCCCCAACGTCACCTCCCCCTCCACGCGCGAACTGATGGGGTGATTTCGACCTTCCCAGCTCGGACCGCTGGATTTTGAATTTGGGAAATGGTCACCCATAACGCCGCCTTCCCTGGAGCGCGAACCGCTGAGGGAGCGCTCGAACCGCTGGGGTGACTTGGAGCAGGTAGATGATTGTCGCGAACGGTAAAGACACGCTCACAACGCCACCTTCCCTAGCGCTCGAACCGCTGAAGTCTTACTCGGTAAAGGAGGGAGGGACACGAATGGGGAGGGGGAAGAAGAGAGACAAGAACGGGGAGGGAAAGGAGGAGCGGGAAGCGGGAGGGAGGGTGGGGGATGGGAAACGCGAGCCGCGCGGCCTTAAGAGTGCAGCAGCTCTGCGGCTTGACTGATATGAGTCGACTCCGCAATCGATCTTTCACGACTGACCAGTCCTTGCAGAACGAGGCTTGCGAGGATTGCGACGATCAGGTAACCCGCCGCAAGCCGTCTCGTCATAGTCGGTTTCATGGCGGCACGAAAGTCGCCCCGATTAGTACTAGCTGAACTTCGTCGAAGCGCCAAGTTATCTTCAAGTTAGCTCGGAGACGACGGCTTGAAGCGACTTCTGAAGGAAATGGTAGCTCGCCTCCTCGAGTGGTGAACGACCTGAACGGCTCGGAAACGATAAGAACGGCTTCAACGATTAAAAGGATTGAAGGATTCACAAGCTGTGAAGCCCCGAAAGAACGTTGGCGCTCTCACGAGGAATAATCAGACGCGAATGAGTTACTGTTGTAATCACGGGCCTCGTTGCTGTTGGTGTTGTGCTATCGCGAAAAGCAACATCGCACAAAAACGGGTATTTAAAGGAAGCTGGAGACAAGCAAGCTAGGAGTCTTCTCTCCGCCGCCATGGTTTGGTGCTATCCATACTTAGGGCCTGTTCGTATTTTTGACACTAGTGTCATTTGGTAATTTTGACACTACCAACATTGTTGACATGGTGTCAAAATTTCGCAGAATGGTAGCCAGTAAAATTAGCCGGACTCCTTCAGACTTTGACGGAGTCAAGACCTACAAGCCAGCCAAAATCGTCGCAAAAAACAAACCCCATCACCCCTAGCGCCCAATCAAGACACACCGTTCCTTAGGTGAAACCTACAGCTAGGTGAGAACTTCGCTGGCTTCGACGTACACAAATCAGCTGAATACACTAGGAGGACCCAACGAATCAGCTGCGTCGTTGACAAACCTACGTGCGTTTCGAGTTGACACTTCAGCTACAGAGACTGACACGCATAATCACTAGCGCTTTGGATTGACACGCATAACCACCTGGTGTCAAAACTACGGACAGGATCTTAGCAGGAGCCCTTTTTTCTCGCCCAGGCCACAGACACCATTATTTCCGAAGCAGGGTCGAGTGCCACTGTTTCACTCGGTGTCATACGGTTTGTAGTGTTTTGAGTACGGTAGACGATATTACGGAGGTTATCAGCACAGTTTATATTTCGGCTCGGAGCCAGACCCGCAGAGTTTGGCCCCTCAGGTCGTCAGCGCCTGTCACGACGAACCTCTTTACCTAGTCTGTAAGCGACGCTGGGCAGACCTATTGAGGCTTGGAACAGAGCGGGGCGCTGAGTTTAGGCAGCAAACTCGCGTATGATTCGACCGACGATTTCAGGTCCGGCGCGTTAAGAAGCTTGACCCTGGGGAACTTCACGCAGAACGCGTTGCGCGTGCTGGTTTGTGGGAGGTTTGTGCGCTTCGGTTATAGGCTGCCTGACTGGAAGGCTGGCAGGCAAACACGAGTGTCACCCAACCACACGCGTCTACTCGCAGCACCGAATTTTGAACCGACGTTGTCGGCAGCATGTTCTTGGTGTATTTCGGTCGGTCAGAAACATCAAATATTAGGTGAACAAGAACCATGATTGGGGGCTAATACTTGGTGAAATTTAGCCATTTACATAATTGTGTACAACACAGGAAGGTTTTGGTGTACCTACCCGCGCACTCTCACCGATTGCGGTTTGGTTCAAAACTCAATTCCTGCCAATTTGCGCTTCTGTTATTGGACGTGGCCTTCCCAGCCTGAATGCGCTGGCAGAGGAAGGTTCTGCGAGACCCAGGGATGATTCCAGCGATGCAGATATTTCCTCGCTGTCGCCAAAGATGAAGGAGCGTTGTCCACGTGGTGAGAAAAATGCTGTTGTGGCAATGACAATGGCTGATGACGTCAGTCCTGCAATTCGCGCTAATGCCTACCCCGCCGTCCATCGAGGTCACAAAGTGTAGAACTCGAACACATTGATAAGTAGATTAGGACAGAACTACAGACACAGAAGCATCTAAAACGCTTTATTTACAGAGGAGATAGCAAACCTCCTCAGCAACACACTACCGTACAGTAACGCGCCTGGGTCTAGCTGATAAGCCGGTACGAACGAGAGCAGAACGTAGTACCGTTTTAAACGGAGCTACCAGGGGATCCCTTGCGCTTTGAAAGCTCCTTTTTAATCGCTCGAAGCACCCTCTGCACATCCTTGCTCCTGTCATTCATCCGCGCTTTAATCACAGCCTCCGCGTCCTCCCACCGATACACATTTATCGCGGTTTTCAACCCCATTTTGCAGTCGAAGTTCCCGGGAATTTTGCTCGAAAAATATTGAGTGGTGTTTTCCCAGCCTTTCGGGGTCAAGTACGGGAGCCAGCCGACAGGAGAGTTGGGAAAGAGAAGCTTGGCACCGGAAAAATCACACTTGTCGAATTTAGCCTTGCTTTCCATCATATACACGCTGTGAGGAACCGGGCTGACCCAACGGAAAACTGCACGCGAAAAGCGGAGAGACATGCAATGGTGAGGCTTTGAGGGCAGGGAGGCGAAAAACGAGAGCACAGTCGATTGGTCTCAGACCCATGGAGAGGCCTCAAATCAAAGTAGAAGGAGAAAGGAACACAGAATAAATGGACCGTCCTTTGGAGAAGAAAAAACCAAACAAAATGCTTTTCTGGTCCGATGCTCTACTACACTTGGGAAAAACCGTTTTTCCCAAAGTCTACTTAATACGTACTGAGCAAGAAGTCTGGAAAGACCGGCGGCGGTTCCGCCCAGATTAATTTCATTGTCGGGCTCCACGGGCTCAGATGGTTGGGAAGGAATCCTCCGACCGTTACTTTTATTGCCTGCATAGAATGGGCGGGTGTGATGCAAACGAGAGGCGAAAGATTTACTGTGAGACTCCACGGGCTCAGATTGTTGGACAGGAATTCCCGACCGTTACTTTGATTACTCGTATAGGGAAGAACGGGCGAAAAGATAACCTGGCATTTTCTGATTGGCTGAGTACAACTGCGTGAAATCGTCTGGAAAAGAGAGAAAGAAAACGTTTTCTCACAATGTACGTGAATATGGAAGCAGTAAGTACCTGAGTGGGAAGTACATTGCTAGCCGCGACGATGAGAAGCAGCACCGCCGCAAGTCGGATGTGATGGCTAGGAACCATGCCGAAGAGCGTGAGTTATTCCGTCCTTCGTAAGCCTTTGGGTGCGATACGATGAAATGTTAAATGCCGCGAAAAAACGGAAATTCGGACCAGATTTGTGATATGCTGCGAATGAGCTCGCCTTCTCCCTGTCCTGGCTCAGTGGCCTCAAAGTCTCAGGCTGACGATGGCTGTAGGTATTCTTTAAAAAAAAAAAACAAGAGAGACGCGTGTCACTGCGTCTTTCGCAACAGATGCGGCTTTGAATGCGGGAAGCAGATGTGTTTTGGCGAGATTGTTTTGCAACTGCTTTTGCTAGCTGCACCGCTGTTCTATTTGTACAAAAAATGTGCCCAGCTTGGCTTTCCCCCTCACCTGGCAAACCATATGTGTCTCATGCACACTCTGTACGTGTTTCCGCCCCAGCCTCCGCCTCCTCCAGGTCTTGGCATGTGTTCTCGTGTCGCCTGGTAATGGACGCGCGTCGCGCGGTACAGCTGTGCTGCGCTAGTGCGTCCGTCCGTGACCAGTTCTTGCTGCCGTTCCGCAGGGTCTCTCCAGTGGACGCGAGGAGATGCTTGTGTTCTTCCACAGTGCTTCCGCAGTACAATTTGCGCCTACCGCTGCCCTGCGCACTCCCCGGAAAGAAAGCCGCGTTCACGGGCATTTATCTTAGCGGTAACACTCATTGGGGTCGATCGCACGCAAGGTAAGCCACGTGTCCGAATCGTAACTAAAGTATCTTCCAATTGCCTCCATGGTAACCAAAGTGCCAGTTTGGTCAACATTATTTCCAGAATGGTAATGAACAGTGCATTCCGAAATCCCAACTGGTAACTCGTCAGAACATCCGCGATGTACACCGTACGTACCCTGTATGACTCAGATTTGAACGTACAACACAACCAATTTCTGTAGTTCCCAACCCAATTCCCTTACCCAAATCGTCCCGCTACCTCCTAACCCTAATCACACCAACAGATCATAACACCAAGTTAGTAGTCACCCTGGTGAACGCTGATCTGTCGACAATGGTGCGCAGCGCCCCATATAGGTATGTCCCCGACCCGTGGTCTTCACATCGTAATCATTGTTGTGTGCGCCTATAGTTCCCTACACGAGCATGGCGCCGCAATCGGCGCTGCGCCATGCAGCCAAGGCATGGCGCAGCCCGCAAATGCGCCATGCCAAGGCATGGCGCCGCAATCGGCGCTGCGCCATGCAGCCAAGGCATGGCGCAGCCCGCAAATGCGCCATGCCTTGGCATGGCGCCGCAATCGGCGCTGCGCCATGCAGCCAAGGCATGGCGCAGCCCGCAAATGCGCCATGCCAAGGCATGGCGCCGCAATCGGCGCTGCGCCATGCAGCCAAGGCATGGCGCAGCCCGCAAAGGCGCTGCGCCATGCAGCCAAGGCATGGCGCAGCCCGCAAATGCGCCATGCCTTGGCATGGCGCCCCAATCGGCGCTGCGCCATGCAGCCAAGGCATGGCGCAGCCCGCAAATGCGCCATGCCTTGGCATGGCGCCCCAATCGGCGCTGCGCCATGCAGCCAAGGCATGGCGCAGCCCGCAAATGCGCCATGCCAAGGCATGGCGCCGCAATCGGCGCTGCGCCATGCAGCCAAGGCATGGCGCAGCCCGCAAATGCGCCATGCCTTGGCATGGCGCCGCAATCGGCGCTGCGCCATGCAGCCAAGGCATGGCGCAGCCCGCAAATGCGCCATGCCTTGGCATGGCGCCCCAATCGGCGCTGCGCCATGCAGCCAAGGCATGGCGCAGCCCGCAAATGCGCCATGCCAAGGCATGGCGCCGCAATCGGCGCTGCGCCATGCAGCCAAGGCATGGCGCAGCCCGCAAATGCGCCATGCCTTGGCATGGCGCCCCAATCGGCGCTGCGCCATGCAGCCAAGGCATGGCGCAGCCCGCAAATGCGCCATGCCTTGGCATGGCGCCGCAATCGGCGCTGCGCCATGCAGCCAAGGCATGGCGCAGCCCGCAAATGCGCCATGCCAAAGCATGCATCGTTTACGCATTATGTAGCTTTGGTTGCAACATTTTCATGTCTCGTTTGTTTATCGTCTTCCATCTCTGTGTGTACTTCCATGATTATATGTATTTGTTTACCATCTATTTCTAATCTGTCGTGTTCCATTTTCTCCGCAGTGTGTTGGTGCAGAACCGGGGTGAGCTCAACTTGTCAATGGGGCATGTGTTTGCGAACGTCGCTGAGGCGCGTAGGCATATTCGCAAGTATGCTCGTCAGGAAAGGTTCGAACCTCACTTTCACTATAACAGAGCTGATTGTGTTGATGTGCGCTGTCTGTGTATGAAGGGGGTTGCGTGGCCCGCTGCGGGTGTGCCTGCTCCGGACGGTTTCTGTCCATTCCGTATTTATGCGCGAGGGCCTAGGGAGGGGAAGATTGAGATCAGGGAGCTTCACTTAGAGCATGCCGATATGTGTGTTGTATGTCCTGCTCGGATTAATGTGGAAGAGGTCAAGGAGATCGCCCGTGAGTTTGTCGCGCATGGCACGATGAGTCCTAGTGGTTTGAGAGATAAGGTGAAGGAGGTTTATGGCGTCTCATGTTCATACAACACAGCACGTCGTGCACTTCTTCAGCTTGAAAAGGAAGATGTTTTGTCGGGGGACGAGGGATTTGAGTATTTTGAGATGCTATTGTCCATGTTTAAGGAGCTGAACCCTACGTCGCGAGTGTCCATGGTGAAGGATGGGGACAAGTTTTTTCGTGCTGGGTTAGTGTTCCCCGGAGCTCGCACTGCATTGTTGAACTGTTTCCCAATAGTGTTTGCGGATGGTTGTCATAACAAGACAAGGTGGGGCGGACAAACACTTAACCTTTGTGCTCTTGATTGTGAGCACAAGCTTGTGCATCTTGGGATTGCATGGGTTGAGGGTGAGACGAAAGAAGCATGCAGTTTCATTTTCCAACTCTTACTGGAGGCCGTGCCAGAAGTTAACACTGAGGGTTTTATTATCATGCATGATCGGGGGAGAGGATGGGCAGCTGCGACGCGTGAGGTTTTTCCAAACGCAAGGGAATCCTTTTGCGTCACTCACATAGTTCGGAACTTCAATGCTAAGTTCCGGTCAACCCTTGATGGCAAGATTGAGCATGCTGCTAGTGCCTTGACTGCAGAGGTGTTTGCACAGTACCTAATGAAGATCGAGAAAGAGTGTCCCGGGGGGGTTGTCTACTTGACAAAAGATGAGCTGTCTAGAAAATGGGCCACCACCAGATTTGGGGCTGCTCGTTATGGTTGCTACAGCTTGAACCCTGTAGAGTCCAGTCATGCCATGTTGAAGGGCTTGAGGAGAAAGAGTCCGGCGCAGGTTTTGTTAGCAGTGATTGAGAGGAAGGGAGTGTCAACATTCAAGCGGCATGAGGCATTCGAGACCATGGCTAACCATCAGCTGCCACAGAAAATTGTGAACATCATTCGCGAAAACGCCAAGTATGGAATGTCGTATACGGCTGACCAGACAGGAGAGACGGCGGTAGAGAAGTTTGGAGAACGGGTTGTGGAGCAGACCTTCAAGGTGACCCGCACGACTGGACGGGAGACACGGCGCGTCACGACATACGCTAGTCACCCTGAGGCCAGCACATGGAGCTGCGGGTATCCAAGGTAGGTCATGCGTCAGTGACTAAACATTTGTTCAAACATATGTTATGTGAAAGTACTTCTTGGAAACATTCTCAAATGATCCTCCCTTCTACCGTGTGTCCCCTTGTACAACCCGCCTTTGTGTAGGGAGTACGGCCTCCCATGTGTACACCTTTATGCTGTCTACAGGTCCACACCGGAGAAGGCTCATCAAGTAGTGGACCGCTACTACAAAGTGGAGGCTCTTAAAAATGTATACAGTACCCCTGTTGTCCCGCTCGACCCTACCGAGGCGTTTCGAGACAACACCACCAAGCCACCTTCGTACCCAAAGAGGCCAGGGCGTCCACGTGAGACACGTATCAGAAGTTCTGGTGAGGTGGATGGTGATAAGATGCGCAAGTGTGGGAAGTGTGGTAAGAAAGGTCATAATGTGCGCACATGTGAGTTGCGGGCGGCACAACGGGCAGCATGGGAAGAGAGGCACTCACCACAGGCTCATGTTGATATGCAAACATGCACAATTGCGATGGGTGAGGTAAACGTGTCAAAGTGCAGCGCGTGTGGAGAGCTACATCGTGAAGGGATTCGTTGTTCACCTGTACGTACGATGGAAGCTCGAGCACGACGGAATGGAGATGAGGAAGAGGGTGCCGCTTGGAGAGTAGAACAAGGAGTTGCGGGCGATGAGGATACGGAGTATTCGCTCACATCAGATTCTGAAGGAAGCGACTGGCAGGAGGAGGAGGGAGCAGGGAGGCGGTAGCCACAGCAGCAAAGTGGAAGTCAACAGCAAGGGGGGGAGCAGCAGCAGCAGCACGGGCAGGGGAAGCAGAAGGGGAAGCAGAAGGGGAAGCAGAAGGGGCAACCGAAGGGGCAGCGGGGGCAGAGGCAGCAGCGAAGGGGAAGGCAGCAGAAAGCAGGGCAGGGGCACGGGCATGGGCAGGGGCAGCAGCAGCAGGAGGAGGAAGAGCAGCAGCAACAGCAGCAGCAGCAGCAGCAGCAGCAGCAGCAGCAGCAGCAGCAGGAGGAGCAGCAGCAACAGCAGCAGCAGCAGCAGCAGCATCAGCAGCAGCAGCAGCAGGAGGGGGAGGAGCAGCAGCAGCAGCAGCAGCAGCAGGGGGAGCAGCAGCAGCAGCAGCAGGGGGGACAACAGCAGCAGCAGCAGCAGCAGCAGCAGCAGGGGCAGCAGCAGCAGCAGCAACAGCAGGGGCAGCAGCAGCAGCAGGGGCAGCACCAGCAGCAGCAGCAGCAGCAGGGGCAGCAGCAGCAGCAGCAGCACAGGGAGGAGGCAGCTGCATCAGAGGGCCTAGCGTCGACATCAGCTTCACAAGGAGCAGGGGTGCCATCGGCTGTATCTAGAGCAATGCCAGTTGCAGGGGGGGAAACCATAGCATCGGCGGATGCAGTTGGGCTGCGGGCGAACAGGCAGGGCCATGATCACCAACAAGGCGTGCAGCAACAGGGTACTCAACAGGGGACCATGAATACGGCGGGCCCAAGAAGTATCGCAGCTGTTGTCCGGAGTCGTTTGCGCAAGCTGTCACGCCTGAATCTGCAACAACAAGTGCCAGACTTGGAAGAAGCTGCAACAGAAATTATTGACAGAAGTACGTCTGGGGGCCCGTCTCAAAGAATCCGGCGAAGTGAAACTCAAGGAGAAGGAGAGCAGCCGAGACGGCAAAAACAGGGAAAGCAACGGCAGAGACGGCAGCAACAGATAGGTGGGCAGCGGCAGGGGCAGCAACAGACAGGGCAGCAGACAGGGCAGCAGGCAGGGCAACAGGCAGGGCAGCAGGCAGGGCAGCAGGCAGGGCAACAGGCAGGACAGCAGACAGGTCAGCAGGCAGGACAGCAGACAGGTCAGCAGGCAGGACAGCAGACAGGTCAGCAGGCAGGACAGCAGCCAGCAGGGCAGCAGGAGGTGGGGCAGCAGCATGCTGGGCAGCAACAGGCATGGCAGCAGCAGGCATATTGGATGTGGCAGGCAGGGCAGCAGCAGGGGGGACAGCAACGGGCAGGGCAGCCGCATGCCCAGCAGCTACATGCAGGGCGGCAGCAGGGCATGGCGCAGCAGGGCATGGCGCAGCAGGCAGACCAACATCGGGCGGTTCAGCAGCGCGGTTGGCTGCAGCAGATGGGTTTGCATTGGCAGGGAGTTAGAGTCCCTATGCCGGAGCCAGGGATTGCCACATCTAATAATGACCATGGCATGCATAGAGGGGTTGGCACACCTCGAGAAGGGCTGTACTGGCAGTACCCATGGACTGTGCCCATGCAGTCATACATGAATCAGCAATGGCCATCGTATGGAGCGCCAACCCACACCATACAACCTGCGGACGGTGGTGATTCTGCGATGGGTGTTGCGGGTGGACAAGGTGTAACTGAATTCTCCAAAGAACAGGTTCAAGAACATGAGTAGCCCCGCTGTTGAGCTAAGCTTATACATTCGTCGTGGACAACAGATTGCCATGATCTCAAGCAATTTGGGCTTGTTGTAGTGATTATAGGGGGGTCCATCTCTGGTGCATGCAGCACAGGTGCCTGCTAGAAATTTATACAATGTTTCACGCCACGGACAACACGACCCATTTCATGACGTAGGTCAAAAACGATACTACATAAGGTAACAGGTTGGATTTGCATATATGTTGGTTATATTTATAAGAGACTAGCACATAACTTCTGTAGACACCGTATTCAGGATCCATTTTAATTTCGTAATCCCTAGTCAAGACAACAATTTGACAAACATAATAGCATTTATTGTTTTACTATCATCTACACATGTTCAAGTTATAAACGTGAAATTATAACAAATATGTTACAATGCGAAGCCTATATCCATCTCATTTTCAGTTTTGCCGAGTCATACAGGGTACGTACGGTGTACATCGCGGATGTTCTGACGAGTTACCAGTTGGGATTTCGGAATGCACTGTTCATTACCATTCTGGAAATAATGTTGACCAAACTGGCACGTTGGTTACCATGGAGACAATCGGAAGATACTTTAGTTACGATTCGGACACGTGGCTTACCTCGCGTGCGATCGACCCCAATTAGTGTTACCGCTAAGATAAATGCCCCGCGTTCAACGTTCCAACCAATGAGCACGTGCTGGAGAGGGGCAACTGCCAGCGGGGATTTGGTGAAGGGTGCACTGAAACAGGTGTGCAGAGTCGCCACGCTTTGATTGGCGTTCCGGAACGCTTCGCTGACTCGACATTTCTCTGCAGTCTCCCTAGCCTTGGTGCTGCTGAGTCGTCTGCCAGCCACATGCTGTGCTGGTGTGTTGTTGCTAGAACGAGGCTCGTTATTGGCTGAACATGTGAGAGTCTTGTGCTGAATGTTGACGCGGTCACAGATGCATGATTTCACATGCTTTTCCAGAAGGACATTTCAAACGCTTCTTTGAAATGCATACGCGCCAATAGCAGGGATGACTGACGGCTCAGAACAGAGAGGGCGAGGTGTACATCTAGTCCCACCTGTGAAGTTCACAGCATGAAAAATCTCTTACAAGATTTAAGATAGCAACTAATTTATTCAACAGTAGCATAACCAGACAGATAGGAATTTAGTAAAAATGGATAATTACTCATTGCAGTCGAATATATTGTTCAGACTACTGGGGGCCTTTTGCAGCAACAATGTAAGTGCCAGGGAGTGACATCATCTTCTTCCATTTCGAAACATAAGCCCTTCTGGTGAAGTTGTCATAGTCATTGGCTTCAATGGCATCAAGAATTTGAGCATAGAGCCTCAGGGAGGCCCAGACCTGAAATAGGGTACAAGAGGAAGTTCTCAAATGAAATTTTGAGCCTTGTACCACAGGAACCGGAACAAGGTGGTGCTCTAATAGTGTCACTCTGGCGAAGGAGTGAAACCAAAGTGGTGCTCTAGTGTCAGTCTATTAGTGAAACTCTGGCGAAGATGGAACACGACAAGGGGAAGTGAAATAGGCTTACCGGCCATCTGCTTTGGCTGTCAAGCTCAACCACGCCTGCTTCTGCTGTCTTGAAGTAGTTGCGAGCCCTCTCAATCTGGAACTTCATGAAGTTGCGCCAGTTGTCAGTCACCTTGCCCTCAAAGATGTCATCGTCAGAGAGGCCAAACTGGGCCAGCTCGTCCTGAGGAAGGTACACACGGCCCCGCTGAGCACTGCAGAGGGAAAGTGGGAAGAACAAGGACTCTAATAAAGCTAGGTTTCACATCAAACGTGGGTAATGAGGATTTATCCAGCATGGGTAATGCAGAAGCACAGGAAGCACTAACTCATGGACTCAAGGCAATGATTCTGGACTGGTACTCTTGGGGTACTAAAAGAGGAGCACTGCAAACGTTTTACATGCTGATGCAATTCTGGCGATGAATTTGGAAAGTATCTACTTTGCAAACGAAGATAAATGGTACACGGAGCTGAAAAAGAAGCTGGAGGTGAAAAGGTGACGTAAGTCAGACCACCACTTACTCTTCTCCAACATCTCTCAAGATGTTTGTGAGCTGATTGGCAATTCCAAGGTCCAGAGCAGCCTTGTACACATCTTCTACAGGCGCTTTAGACTTGGGGTCGATTCCCATGACAGGAACGCTCATGAGGCCCACAGTGCCGGCCACATTGTAGCAGTACACGTAGAGCTCGTCGAACGTGCGGTAACGGGACTTCCTCAGGTCCATCCGCATGCCATCGACCATGTCCCTGTAGGGCTGGAAAGACATTGATGGGGGATACGGGAATAAACGTTCGAATTGCGGAGCTGCGTACATGGTTTCGTGCATGCATTCAAATTCGACGCGCGGAGGCAGTTAAAATTTATCCAGCAAGACATCTCTTCGTACCTGAATGCTCATAGGGAATGTCTGGATGGTGTCTGAGAGAGCAGCATCCAGCATGTCGTACGGTCGACCTTGGAAGAGCTCATCCAGGCGCTCCTCCCATCTGTCTAGAGCCCTCGGGGTGATGTGGGACGCGTTCGGACCATCCACTAGTTCGTCGGTTCTCCGGCACCAAACTGGAACAGCGAGAGGCACAATGCAAGATGGTTGAGCACATATATTGGACAGTCACTGACTGGAAACGAGTGCAACGTTAAGCTGCTACCATTGACGAATGCATAAAACACTCGAAATGCATGTACGACTTTCTGTGGTCTACAGAACCACTACAAAGCAGGAAACACGGTGTGATGATGTGGAAAAAAAGAAGAAAAATAGCTGAACGCTGAACAGCAGGACGAAATATACATCTTCAAACGTACTGAAGATATATAACGAGTGCGCGTGTGAAACCAATTTCTAACGTATAAGCGGGTGCGCGTGTGGACAGGGGGGCATGAATACGTACCATAAATGGCCCAGATAGCTCGGCGCCTCTCGGGGGTCATGAGTTTGGTCCCTGCGCAAACACAGAGAACAGGAGTCAGTCGAATTGAACACGCAACATGCAAAAGGTTCAGAAGAAAGGAACTAGCTGGAAGCCTCACCAAGATAAAATGTCTTGGCGTACTCGGCACAAACTTCTCCACAACGCTCATAAGCCTCTCCCAAGAGCTCCGGGGTCATCAAAATTGGCGCTTCTTTCTCAGCCGGCTTGGAAATGTAAGTGTCTGCAGCCTCCTTCACTACAACGTCGAATATTCTTTGCTCTGCGGACACATAATCAGAGTCCGATTTCCTTTGGCCGGGAATCACAAGCTTCTTTTGAAACCCCTGGAAGGTTCCGGCTTGGCCGGTTGGTACATCAAGAACAGCTCGTGGTTGAGAGAGAGAGGAGCCTGCGCGATCTACTGAAGGACGGACGACTTGTCTGCTGCTGTTATGCTGTTTCCCTGTATTCCAAAAGGACCGCTTTCCCCAAGAAAGGCTCTGTGTGTTGGCTGTTGACATGGAGCCATGGTTGTTCGGAGCTGCAACTGTCAGGTCCTTAATACCAGCGGCCTGAACTAGAGCCACGGAAACCATTTTGACCGGCAGTATAGTATGTGTGACACCGGTGGCCAAGGTCGTCGGTATGTTGAAAGGCTCCCTCACAACAATGCCTCAAGCTGGTAAGCTAGGACACGAAAAATATACCTTGATCCTGCGACAATCAACGCACTGGTGATGAAGTGGAAGAAGCCTCTTCTTGCTTAGTGCAGCCTCGAAGTGCTGGGGCTCAACAATGCCTGCTGGGACCTATATTGGCCTGACAGTAATGTATGGAAGGTTACAGATACAGTGTTTCAATGGCTGCCAGTGTCGGATGAGTATTCTGTGATTGATGTGGTGGGTATCGCTTGAAGAGGTGACACAGGGCAGCCTTACCGAAGTGGTCTTTTCTGCGTGAAAAACGGGAAGCGAGGCTGTCATTGCTGAGGGGACGATCGATCGGCCGTCGAGGTTGATGCAAATGGAGAATCCAACGGTCCAAATGAGACCGACGAATTGAACGTTCGAGGGGATGGGCTCCAGAATTTCGCCTGCCCCTTGAGAATTTCCCTGCGTGTGCGGCTCCAATCAGAACGTAAACCTGATCGCACGGCTCAGCGAATCTGGCCAACCAAACTCGAGGTGGGGATCATGTGGAGGTGTGAGGCCAAAACAAGATTCGCGGGGTTCGAGAGGCAGAGTCGACGTGGCAGAATAACGCTGGGAAAGCAAAAGTTCCCCCAGGAATATGGGTCTAGTCAGCAAACCTATTGAAAGTGATGACCGTGACACCATGAGACGCGTGGTTCAGTGCTTTTGCGGAAAGGATGGTGGGTGGATAAAATGCAATCACCGAAGACGACCACAACCATTCTAACGCGCGGCGAACTTCGTAACGCTTTCGCACACCGATTTCAGCGAACAAGTGCCTGCACCTGCGTCCTGACACAACACTTCTTCGAAACTTGTGCCTGAGGGAGACTGGTGGAGGTGTGCAATATCAACCACACACATGCGAAATCCAGGATCTCCGATATTGAATAACGAATCGTGCATTTAGTTGCAGATAGCCACCATGACGTGATAGACAATAGCATTTTTCACATCCTCTCCATTTAGTGGAAAACTACACATACATAAACTGGAATGTAAAAAATAGTCACATCAGTAGTTGTTCTCAAGCATAGTCAGCTCTTTGCATTAGAACCTCTCGCGATTTCGGCACACAATTTTGCAGTCTGCGTGGCAATCAAACACGTTCAGACGAATGAAAAGCAAGAAACGGCTTAGTACAACCATATACATACCAGCGGCTTCCACAGCCGTGCTCGAGCATTCACAAACCAGTCTTCAACCTGACAAGCAAGATCCGGTTAAAAAGCACAATACAACAAAAATATGCAAAACAACTTCAAGAGCTTGCTCACCTGCTTTTTCGTAATGTTGAATGCAGTCATAAACTCCATCTTCTCTTCTTTTGATGGTTTCCTGAGGACACGACAGAAACCCACGACAATGTTATCAGATGGTTTCCATGGTTGGGATGGTGGAAAGTGGAGAACAAGCGACAAAAGCCCACAACAGCGCAGCAAGATAGCATGACAACCACCACAACTGCCTCATCCGTCAACCATCCCCTCCAAAGAGCCACTGGATCAGCGGAGCATCCAACAACACAGTCCCACACAAACCCACCCCATCCCCTCCCATCACAGCACGTCATTTCCACATACCCAACATCCCATCCACGATTTTTAAACACATAACTTACGGGTTATCCCAATGTGCCACCAGCCACTGCAGCATCTTCTGGGCGGCAGCTTGCGGCAGAGCCCCCCTGGCTCCAGACAACCCCAGCTGCTCCCTCGCACTCACTGCTCGCCGCTCCCTCCCCTCCTTCCTCCTCCTCTCCCTCTTGCCACTGATGCAGTGAGAAGGGCTTATGTGATTTGCTGGCAGCGGTGGGGACGGTAGCGCTGGTGACAATAGTGGTGGTGATGGTAGCAGTGGTGATAGTAATGGAGATGATACTGGACAGATAGGCACAGCGGATCCCGGACGTGGTGGCATCAGGGTAGGTGCACCTGGAGCAGGTGTTATTGGCAGCGCTGGCTGCGGTAGCAGCAGAGGCGGTGGCTGCAGAGGCGTGGAAGGGAGCAGAAGCTTCTGCGATGGCAGGAAGGGCTGTCTGGGCTGGTTGCTTGCAGGTGCAGCTTCAGCAGTAACGTGGAACGAGGGACTTCTTGCTGTTACACGGAGACAAAGAGGGGAGGAAGCAAGGAGAGACAATCAAGGGAGAGCGAGATGCGATTAAGGTAAAGCAAAGACACAGTGGACGCCACCCCCCCCCCCCCACATCTACCCCTTCATCTCTTAACCCCTCCTCCGTTTCTGAGCCCCAAATCATCCCTGCTCGCCCACAAGCGCTAGCCTGCCACTGGCACTCACCGTTAAGTGTCTTACTTAGCACGCAGTTGAGCCTCGACCCAAACCAGTGAATTGCAGCAAACGGGGCAAGACCTGGCACACCCCCCATGTACAAGCGCTAGCCTGCCACTGGCACTTACCCGTAAGTGTCTCACTTAGCACGCAGTTGAGCCTCGACCCAAACCAGTGAATTGCAGCAAACGGGGCAAGACCTGGCACACCCCCCATGTACAAGCGCTAGCCTGCCACTGGCACTTACCCTTAAGTGTCTTACTTAGCACGCAGTTGAGCCGAGACCTGAACCAGTGGATTGCAGCAAACGGGGCAAGTTCCGTCAGATCTGGGAGACCCAGCAGACCCGGCAGACCCGGCAGACCCGGCAGACCCAGTAGATTGGGTAGAGGCTGCAGGAGAGTTGACCCTGGGGATTTCTCCCCAGGGAGAACCGGGAGAGAACTCTTAAGTGGAGCAGGTAAGACGCCAGGAGCAGCAGAGTCTGCAGGAGGGTTCCCAGCGCAGTCTGCCACAAGGGCGGCACGCAGTGGGTCAAAAGCATGCAGCATCTGCCGCACATGAACCTCAGATGTGCCCTCTGCTGCGGTCATTCCCGTACAGGGCCCAGCCTTGTCTGTGAAAGGAGCAACCATCCCTGTGGGGACAGTCAGGGCGGCATGCAGTGGGTCAAAAGCACGCAACATCTGCCTCACATGAACCTCAGCTGAGGCCTCCCTAAGAGACGCAACAGCTGATGCCCCAGGCATCCCAAAGAGAGGCTCAGACATCCTTTCGAAGGGCGCCGCAGCCTTCTCTGTGAGGGGATCAGCTACGTCTGTCGGCCCAGCTAGGCAGCCTAGCATCCATCCCACTTCCCCCAGTAGCGACCTCACCACCACCTTCAGTGATCCATCCTGCCCCTCTCCTCCCTCTTGTACTATCGCTAGAACGGCAGAAGTAGAAGCAGCAGCAGCACTGGTAACGGCAGCAGAGACAGCAGGGAAAGCACCAGCGATAGCAGCAGAAGTGGGAGCAGCCGTGGCAGCATTAGTAGCAGCAGTTGCAGGCACAGGAGCAAGAACGGCTGAAGAAGCGTTGTGGATGCTGTGTGAAGTGGGCAAACGAGGAGGCGAAACAGACACATAGTTTTTGCCCCCTTCCACTCCCCTTGTTGCTCCTCCTCCCTCTCCTCCTCTTCCTCCCTCCTCTCCTCCCTCTACCGCACTCACTTTCACTCTCTTCCGTGCACTCCCACCCTCCCTCCACGCTCTCCCCCTGCCTGCACCACGAATGCCTCTTGCTTGCTGACCCTGCTGCAAAGTCTGAGCACGTGAAGACACGTGGCACATGCCACGTAGAGTGCTATGTGGAGTGCCATGTGGCATTTGTGGGCTAAGAGCTGGTGGCAAGCGAAGGGGAGATGGAGGGCTAAGTGATGGTGTTGTGCTAAGTTGTAGTGGTGGGCTAAGTGGTGGTGTTGTGCTAAGTGTTGGTGCTGAGGCAAGTGAAGTCAGAAGAATAGGTTGGGGCTGGAGAATTGGTGGCGATTTGAAATGGGGAAGCGGCTTGAGTGCAGGAGAATGATGGAGTGAGGGTGACAGATGGAGTGGGGATAAAGGCAGTAGCCCCAGAAGTGCTGGCGGTTGCGGTGGTGATGGGGATGGTACTGGTGGTGGTGGTGATGGTGATGGTGGTGGTGGTGGCTGTAGTGCTTGCAGTGGTGACGGTGCGATCAGTATTGGTGAGCGTGGTGTAAGTATTTTTGCTAGTGATGGTGCTGAGAGTGACGTGGTGAGAGCAGGTGAGAGGGACAACAAGGACACTCGTTCTTGCGTCTGCTTCACCTCTTCCTCCTCCACTTTCTCCTCCGCCTCCTTCTCCTCCTCCTGTTGCTGCTGTGGGTGCAGCTGCTGTTGCCGCTGCTGCTGCAGGTACTGCTGCTGCATGATTTGTCCAGCTGAATGCAGAAGCGGTCGAAAAGGAGCATACGGAGCTGGGAGGGGTAGCCGTGGCAGCGACAGAAGCTGATGATAGTGACGTTGCTGCAGCTGCTGCAGCTGCTTCTCCTGCTGTTGCTGCAGCAAGTGATGGTGCTGCTGCTGCTGCTGCTGCTGCTGCTGCTGCTGCAAGCATTGAGGGTTGTGTTGTTGTTGCTGCTGCTGTTGATGTGGTGGCACTGGTTTCTCTATCAGCAACACATCCATCCCATGCCGCCCACTGCTGCCGCCCACTGCCGGACCACTGCCGCCCATCCACTCCAAATCACCGAACTTATTACTTGCACTCGTACCCCTACCATCAGCATCCATCTCACCACCACTGCCGCCCACTTCCAGACCACCACTGCCGCCCACTTCCAGACCACCACTGCCGCCCACTTCCAGACCACCACTGCCGCCCACTTCCAGACCACCACTGCCGCCCACTTCCAGACCACCACCACCCATCCACTCCGAATTACCAAACGACCAGCTACGGCCAGGAGCAATCACACATGCACTGATACCATCCATGCCATTTTGGGTCAGCATGGCATCATCACCAGCACCCATACCCTGACCACCCATCACCATGCCATGTATGTCACTAAGGGGCACCACTGCACCAGCACCCATGCCATGCATGCCTTTACCATGCATGTCCGCAGCATCTATGCCATGGATGCCCATGCCATTTATGCCATCCATGCCATCCATGCCATCCATGCCATCTATGCCACTCATGCCACCCATATCATACATGCCATTCTGGGTCACTATGGCACCATCACTAGCACCCATGACATGACCGTCGACCATCACCATGCCATGCATGCTATCATGGTTCCCAGTTGCACCATCAGCACCCATGCCACGACCGCCCACCATGCCATCATGGCTTGCCGTTGTTCCATTGCCCTCAGCACCCATCTCCATCCCTCTGATAGACGCACATAAGCTCACCGCCACACACCTCCCTACATCCACTAGCGTTTCGTCTCCCTGGCCCATCAACTCCCCCATCAGTTCTTCCGCCAATTCCCTCTCCCCTTCATCCCTCTTCTCTTCCTCCTTCTTCTCCTGTCCTGAATCTCGCCGCCCAGCGCAATTCATATCCCCTTTCAACGACATTTCGTGCAGCATCTTTCCCCGATCTTCCACTGAGGTCCTGGGTGTATCCATAAAATTTGCCCTTGGAGATTCAGGGACGCACCAGAGACAATCAGATCCGTCCAGGCTAGCCACGGAAACCTGCTGTTGAATCCCAGCCGCTGGATCACTTGAGTGGTGCGAATCTGTGCCATCCATTCCGTTCCAAGATGCAATCCCCTCCCAAATGTCCTCTGCTGTTTCTTGAACTGACCCCACCCCTTGGTCGATCGCCGTGTGGTCTTTCGCGTCACAACTTGGCTCCTTGGGATGCGCCACGTCATGGCCTGTATCGTGATGGCCAGCCACGTCATGGTCTGCCACGTCATGGTCTGCCACGTCTGCCACGTTGAGCCCTGACACGTCACGGTCTGCCTCGTCATGGTCTGCCACGTCATGGTTCCACTCGAGCCCAAACTCATGGTTCCCCGCGTCGAACTCGAAAAGGCTTCCGCACTCGTCACCATTCTGGAAGCTCAGCTCTATGGTTTCACGCGACGGAATGCTACGAAATCGGTAACCATCTTCGCTGTAACCCGCCGCCAGCGATTCCCCATACTCATCCGAAAGGTTACCCTCCGTCGGGTTACCAGCAGCAGCGTTGCATGGACGGTCCATGCTTCTAGACGGTTGGCCGGTGCTCTGAAAGCTGCTGACGTCATCAGGAGCGTGGAGGAGCCGCGGAACGGGTTGAGAGAAGAGCTGCGGGAGCAGATGCGAGAATAACTGCGATTCGTAGTCCAAAGCGGAAAACACGCCGCCGTTTTCGTCGCTTTCCGCGGCTGCAAATTCGGCGTCCGCGATTTGCGCTGGTGGAGGTCCGGGAGGCTGCTTACGTGAAACATTTTCCGCAATCCCCGGGACGTGAAGCGTAGGTCGAGTGGAACGATCAGTATCGGAGGCATGATGTGTAGGACGAAAGGACTTAGGATTTGGCAGCGGCGGCGAGATCGCTGTCGGCGCTTCGGACATTCACCACCGCAACCCTGCCGTACGCGATATATTGCGATCCGAAGCTTGCTAGCATCAGATAAACCGAACAAGCGGCTTTGCTGCAATTTCATGCACCAGAACGTACGAGACAGAGCACGAAGAGAAGTCTTCAATTGGAAAAACACGATTTCAAACTCAAGATTTGACTGAAGATTGCTGAAAGTGAGACACCAGGGATTCAAGACTCGTGTCGTGTGTCACAAGACTTGCTAAATGGCGGATCACCGTACGGATGCTTTGCGGGATGACGGTGCTGCATGCGCGCGGGAGAGAGAGAAGTGCGAAGGAGAAGTGCGAGAAGGCCGAGCGAGGCGGCCGTGGGAGACGGAAGAATGGGGTGCGAGAGAGAGATCCCCTGCGAGGGGGAAGATAGCCGCGCAAGTCAGTCGTGTGGGGCTGCTGGCTAAGGTTTGATAGGCGGAACGGGAGGGATTGGGTATCGAAAGGAACGGAACGGTACGCTGAAGGAAGCGGATCGGATAGGCGCAATCGGCTATGGCCATAGCCGCGGTTCGGGTGTCCATTATTGGTCTTGTAAAATAATACTGCGAAGTGATGAGGCGTGGAGGATAGCGGAGAGGCGGCAGAGCGTGGATAGATGGGTGCGAGACGGCAACCACTTGACACAGCAAGCAGAGCGGTGTGCCTGAACGGTGTGTCCTGAAGAGTCTGATGCTGTGGTGATGAGCTGCAAACGTCCCAGCAGCCGTCATGACGCCATGGATTGTAGAAATATTTCATGTTCCTGGGAACGGCAAGAGCCTGGGCTTTCGTCAGCCAAACTCTAAGAAAAATGCCTTGTCAGAATCTAGATATGTTTCTGCTTGAACATCCAATGTTCATAATTCATTAGCGCTCGACAAGTGTGCTTTACTTATAGCAGAGTTGGACAATAACGGGATGAGGGTACTGTGCGATGAGAGCGAAGATGCGACATGGTGCCTCTGCTGATCTTGCGCATGCGAAATGTCGCAAGCCTTACAATACTTAAAGCCGTGGCCCAACTATCAGCTTCAACTTCGAAGTATTATAGCTTGGAACATGGTTGTCGCAGGCAGTCTGTGGCGAGAAGTTTGTCTTTTCCGAGATTCCTTTTTTTCATCCAATAAGGGTCTCGTTACGCACACTCCATGTTTGTCCTGCTACTGTTCCTAAGAAGTTGCACCCCGCCTTTAAAGGCTTGTTCCTTTTCTGCTATGTTCGCCACGCTTTTGTGCCATGCTACATGGAGCACGAGACGCAGGTGATATTTCAAACTGCAACTTCAGGAGCCAGGTGAAAGCTTGAACTTCCGAGCACCTGGCCACATCGACGGCAGCCGGCTCACGCGGGAAGCGCGAACAAACAATCGAATCTGTACGAAACTTCAGGCGAAAATGGAAATTCAAGTTGATCATGGCAGAGCCACAGAAAGACTTCGAGAGATGTGGCGCGAGTCATCTTTGTGCAGTAATAGAGACCACGAAGTAAGGTAACCCTTGATCGCGGATCTTCGCTGTCGTATTTCTGCGGTTCCTCCCATCCTTGCAGACAGTGCCCACCCAAACTCCACTAATCTCGCTAAACGCCAATACTCGTGTGAAGTTAACGTTCGGTACAGCTTTGCAGCAACAGAGATCCAGCTTTTTTTGCGAGACACCCATCACGCACGACCGATACGCTATAGTGAATGTACTTCCACGTGTGCATGCATCCGGCCAGTCACTCGTCCAGATCCGGCAGCGACGGAACGAGCAAAACCAGTGGCAGGGAGGCCCCCCAATCGTCCCAGGCACTGACAGCGAAAGATGAGCCGGTTGTGGTTGTGAGCTCTTGAAAACGATATTAGAAACGAGAAGCAGGAGTCTGAGTAGTGTCAAGACGGGAACGCCATTGCATGATAGCGCGACACTGAAGAATATCTTTTTTCTCATTATAAACCTTCCGACATACCCAGCCTTATTCGGAATCCAGTTAGCGGACTTCCTCGCAGCACCAGCTGGTAACCAGCGGGGTTACAGGCACGCGACTATCATGACAGCCTCTGCGCTACCCCGCGGCGCGGAAAATGCAACCTCCGCGCGGAGTACCGCGGCGCACGCGCTGCGGCTCCTCCCGCTCCTCCTCCTCTCGCTCCTACTCGGCCAGGCGGCTCGCCCCGCCGCCTCGCAGTCATCCGCGGCGCCCCGCCGCCTTCTCGCCACCGAGACGCTGGGCAACCCCGTTTATATCGTCCGCCTTAAAGAAAACTCCGTCGCGGCCGAGATTAGAGGGGACGGGAATAACGGAAACGGCAGAAATGGGGGAGGTAACGGCGGAGCGAACGGGAGGAATGGGCAGCGGCAGAAGATCGACCGGAACTCGCAGCGTGTCAAGGACCACGTCAGTCGAGTCAAAGCCCAGCACGCTCGAGTCGCGCGCGGCGCGGGGGTTCCCGACTCGGACGTGCTCTACAGCTACGCGTATTCGACCAACGGTCTCGCGGCTCGGCTTTCTAAGGAACAGAAGCGCGCGTTAGAAGCAGACCCGGAAGTAGCATACGTGCAGGAGAGCAAAATCCGCAAGTTAGACGTGCTCGACTCTCCAAATTTCCTCAATCTGCCCAACACGCTATGGAAGGCGAATAAGGCCGCCAAGTTGACCGCGGCCGGCGAGGGAACAGTTGTCGGAGTCGTTGATACGGGAATCTGGCCCGAGCATCCATCGTTTCAGGACCAGGTGTGTAGAAGTTTCGCTGAAATTGCACATTCCCCCGCTCATGTTCTGACCCTCCTCATCACAAGATTCCTCGCAAATTCCCTCCCCTCCCCCCCCACCCCCTCTTTCCCCCCCCCCCCCGGTTCCTCGCCAATTCCTCCCCCTCCCCACCCCCCCCGCCCCTCTCCTCCGTGTCCCCTGCCCCCCCTGTTCCCCCTCATCAGGCAACTAACCCGTACCCTGACCCGCCTGCCACGTGGACGGGTAAATGCCAGACCACCTCCGACTTCCCCAAGTGCACGCGGAAGCTCATCGGCGCGCAGTACTTCATCGCGGGGTTCCTCGCCGCGGGGCTGACCTACTACGACCCCAGAGATTGGCTCTCCCCGCGTGACTTGGCAGGCCACGGCACGTGGTGTGCGGGGTAAGTTTCGTAGAGAGGTTTCTTGCATGCACACCGTTATGAATGGTTGATTTGAACTTTGTACTTCATCGCGAAGTTCCTCGCGGCGGGGCTGACCTACTACAACCCCTAATATTGTTGGCGACGTGGCGGGCCACGGCACCTGGTGTGCGGGGTGGTAAGATCCTAAGGCGCTCCTTCTCTTCCCCTTCTCCCCTTCCCCCAATTCCCAGAGCCGCAGCTGGCAACGGCCCCGTTTCCTTCGGCTCGCTCAACTCCGTCTCTCTCGGCTCGTCCTACGGCGTCGCGCCGCGCGCCTTCCTCGCCGCGTACAAAGTCTCGTGGTACAGCACCAAGTACAACGGCCGCGTGATAACGGACTCGGATATCCTCGCGGCGGTCGACACGGCCGTCGCGGACGGGGTGGACGTTTTGTCGCTGTCGTTAGGAGGCATGGACCCGTCGGACACGTATTTCGACGACCTGGGTTATCTGGACGCGCATTTGGTGAGTTTCGACAGCCTTCCCATGTCGCTCTCGCTGTCGCTGGGAGGCACGGATCTTTCGGACACTTATTTCGACGACCTGGGCTATCTGGATGGACATTTGGTACGCATTTTAATCTCACTTCCTTATAATGTTTTAGTACTCTATTGAAATCTATAAATTCCTCACGAATTCCCTTTTCCCTTTTCCTTCGTTTTCCTGCAAACACTAATCAGGCGGGAGTGGTGGTGGTGAAATCAGCCTCCAACTACGGTCCTCCGCCCTTCCACCCCTCTCTCTACCGCTCCATCTCCAACTTCTCGCCCTTCTTCCTCACTGTTGGCGCCAGGTGAGACCCCAGGTGAGATTTTCAGGTGATTTAGGTTGTTCATATTGCGTGCTTCCTTTGTGAATTCGCTTTTTGACTCTCTTTGCCCTCAAATCCACGTCGTTACTCTTTGTCCCCTCTTCTCTTCCCCCACACTTCCCCCCCTCCGCCGTCCCATCCCTCTCCGTTCCCCCTTCGCATGACTGTATTCCCGCTTCAATGCGCACAGCTCTATCAGCCGTCGCTACAACGCGTCGCTCACCCTCGGCAACGGTACCGTGATTTACGGAAACGGGTTTGGCGGCTTGAATATGGGTGCCAACACCCCCCTCATCGACGCAGCTAAAATTCCGGCTGCGGGCTACGATGCATCTAAGGTAAGTAAATGAGAAAAGTACATTTCAATTTCGTCTGATTGTGACAATTCGCCTAGATTCCTTTCGCCTTGACTAGTGCATCTACAGGAAATTATATCCAACAAACCCCCTTTTGCTTCTACAGTATTCAACAAAGAACCCATTTGCTGACTCCAACGAAGCAAATGCATCTACATGCGTAACCTAAGCTATTTTGCATAATTGTTTTTCTGCTTGTGCTTCAATCATTTATAAGGTTACATTCACCTCTTTCATCATCACCCTCCATTCTCTTTCCTTCTCCATTTCATCCTTAACAACAGGCCAAGTACTGCAAATATGGCTCGCTCGACACAGTGTGGGTGGCTTGGCGCATGGTGGTGTGCTTATACGGAGGGGGAGTGAGCAACGATGAGAAAGCAGCAGAGGTGGCACGCGGCAAAGGCCTGGCGGTGCTTATAGTGAGTGTGATGCCGGCTGACGATGCGTCGGTGACCCGATACGGCACCCTCCCTGCAATGACACTCTTCCCTCCTAACGATGCGATTCTGAATGAGTACCTACTGACTGCAAGGTATGTGGTCTGTGCTATTTGCTGTTTTGTTGCCTGGATTTTCTTGACAGTACACTGCTGCTTTTCACAAATACAAGCATTTGATACTCACTCCATCTCCCTTTTTGCACTTCTCCCTGCATACCTCCTTGCCCCCCATCCCCAGTTTTGAATATTTACATCTCCATTACCCGCTTTTTGACACGCCCTTGCGTCTTCCTTTGTTTTGGTGTATCACTGAAACTCCTCCTCCTCCCATGGGTCCCTCTCGACCTCTTTCTTTCTGCCACCTCCCAGCCCAACAGGCACAATGTCTTACGGTTTCACTCAAACCACCACTGGCACCGCAGCAACCATGGCCTATTTCTCATCCATCGGTCCTCTTGTCCTCCCCTCCACCGTCCCTCCTCCTTCTTTCCCCACCAACGACATCTTAAAGCCCGATATCATCGCTCCGGGTTATAATCTTTGGGGTGCCGCTATCGGAACGACCCCGGGTGCTGCTATGTCGACAGCTACTAAGGTTTTAATGAGTGGGACGTCTATGGCTACACCTCAGGTTGCTGGAATCGCGGCGCTTATAATGCAGAATCAGACCGATTGGACGCCGTCGCAGGTGATGTCGGCGATTATGACGACAGCTATAGTTAGGAATAACAAGAACGCAGGGATAAAGAATTACAATAACTCTGGTGCGACGCCGTGGCAAATGGGGGCTGGACACGTGGACGCGAGCAAGGTGCTTTCACCAGGACTTACCTACAATTTGGCCAGACAGGATTTTTACAACTTTTTGGCCGGGCAGAATCTGACCCTCACCCAGGGATTGGCTCCTGCTGATGCGGTTCTGAACCCCATTCCTGCTTACAACCTCAACCGGCCGACGATTTCCGTGGGGCGGCTTACAGGGAGTCTGACAGTAACGAGGACGGTTACAAGTGTGGGGACTGCAGTGTCAACTTATAATGCTACTGTGGTGTCTCCTACTGGGGTTACCACAGTGGTTACGCCAAAGTCCTTCACAATTGCACCTGGCGAGTCGGTGACATTCAATGTAACGTTCACGGTGGTAACCGCGCACAACAATTTCAGGTTTGGGAGTCTGACGTGGAAGGATGGCAAGAGTGTGGTTACATCTCAGATTGCAGTGGTCCCCTGGTCTGTCTGACCCTGATTGGCTGGGGTCTACTTACAGTATCGGTCTGTCTCTGCTGGATGGCGAACTGTAGTTTCCATTGTGGTGGTTCAGAAGCTGTTTGTATTTTATTTTGTATGGCATACACATGCATGTGTTACGTACGCTATAATGGTGGAGAGCTAGCGTATTCTGGTTTATTTCCCCTGTTGTTTACCTGATTTGGTTGCTTGAAGCTGCTAGGCTTTCTACCTGATTTGGCTGGGGGTGTATCTGTGGTGGCTAGATTAAGGAGAAAGGCAGCTATTTCATGCTCCAACGTTACTGCTGTATGTGTTGTACTTTCTGTTTGTCCATGCACTATAAATATTGCCCTGCTAATGTGTAATCATATAACCTCTGATATAGCATTGTTGTGCAACTTCTGAAGTGTGTATTGTGTAACTTTGTTACGGGTGCAATGAATCGAAGTACGGTAGCGAGAATTGCACTAAGGTGTCAAACGAGTACAAAATGTGAGCGAAGGCATGAGCGAACATTTATACGCGAAACATGCAAAACGGTAACGCGGTGCGTGCGAGCTTGCTAGTGCTACGCTGGAGCGAGGCTCGGGCTAGTTCCGAAGCGTAGGCCGATACGGCCATGCTGTCAGAATGAGGAATGAATGTTCCATTGATGTTGGTTGGGGTACATATGACAAACCCTAACTTCTGTACCCCCTAAGACAAACCTCACTACAGGCTACAACATTTGACACACCCCCATAGCCTAAGTGAGGGGTGTCTAGCAAAAAACAAAAAAGAGTACGGTCACAAGACCAGTCCAAAAGAAAACAAAGCTCAGGGTGGATCACAACGTCACCACACACTCTGAGCACAAGCAACAGTGGCCACAAGGCCAGTCCAAGAGATCACAAGTATATATAGTAAAAGTACAAACGAAGCAGGCGATAAACTCAAGTCTACGCATGACTAGAACCTGTGTCAACAAGGCCTAACTGCACACAACACCTCTGGTGGTCACAAGGCGGAAGCGCCTTGGTGAAGATGTCTGCAGTGTTGGCCTCGGACTCTACAAACTCGAAGCGAGCCTGTCCACGCCTCTGCAACTCTCGCAGAAGAAAGTACCTGACGTGAATGTGCTTCACTCTGCTCTCTAGTCGCGGCTCACGACAGAGGAGGATCGACGCCTTGTTGTCAGTAAACAAGGTCGGTGCAGAGCTCGGCCGCTCACCAAGGTCGGCGAGCAAGAAGGTCAACCACCGCAACTCCTGTGCCGCCATGGCACCAGCGTAAATCTCAGCCTCAGCTGTAGAGGTCGAGACAGAAGAGGAGCGCGTGGAACGCCAGGAAACAGCTCCAGAACCCAGACTGAAAGAGTACCCCTGAGTAGACCTGTGAGTCTCAGCGTCGTCAGCGTAAGAGGAGTCACAGTGACCAGTGAGTACGACAGACTGCTGCCCTCCAAGAACTAGCCCCACGCCTGATGTAGTCGCTAGGTACTTCGCCACCCTCACAGCTGCCGTCCAGTGAACAGGACGGTGTCTCCCTGGCGCAACAAAGCGCGCAAGGATGCTGAGAGGGAAGGCGAGGTCCGGGCGAGTACAAGTCATCAGGTACATGAGGCAACCCACAAGCTCTGCGTAGGGACCACTAGGCTCAAACGGCTCGTCAGGAAAGGGACCAGTGAGTCTGTGATCAACAGCTAGAGGTGTGCGCTGTACAGTGGAGTGCTGAAGCCCGAACCGCTGAAGGACCTGCTGCACCATGTGTGACTGTGAGAGTGTAATGGTGCGAGCGGCTCTGTCCCTGGTGATCTGCAGGCCAAGGTAGTGGCGCAGCTCACCAAGATCAGTGCACGTGTGTCTCTTCTGCAGTTCGGACTTCACGTCTGCCAAAGCAACCCTGTCCGGAGTGGCGAAAACGAGGTCGTCGACGTAAACCAGAACAAAGAACGGTGTGGAGCCACGACGAACGAACAACGACGGGTCGGCAGAAGACGGCTGGAACCCAAGGTCAGAGAGGGTGGAACGCAGAGTGTCGTGCCACTCACGAGGGGCCTGGCGAAGACCGTAAACAGGTCGCCTCAGCCTCCACTGGGTCCCAGGAGGGAAGGTGCCAGTGAAGGCCGAGGGACGACGCAACCAGACCTCCTCGTGTAGGCTGCCCTGAAGGAAAGCAGTGGAGAAGTCGAGAGAGTGTAACTCGTAGTCTCTCTGTGCTGCTACGTGTAGTAACACCCGAAGAGTGGTCATCTTCGGGGTAGGTGCGAAGGTCTGAAAGAAGTCAACTCCCTCACGCTGACTGAAACCTCTAGCCACGTAGCGCGCCTTGAAGACCGGGGGAGATCCCGGTGGCCGCTTCACCCTGTAGATCCACATGCCGTCGACTACGTTCGCCCCAGGGGGGGGAACCTCATCGACGTAGGTGCCTGTGGATCTGTAGAAGGCCATCTCTGCGTCCATGGCAGCTCTCCACTGAGAGGCCCAAGGCCCTGACACTGCCTCAGCGTAAGTGCGAGGAGTCGGAATGTCAAGGGCGTCGGGGTCACCCTCAGGGGCGAGGAGCATGGCACAGAGATGAGGGGAAGCGGCCGCCAGGAACTCTAGCTCAAACTGCCTGTCCTCTAGGGCGTCACAGCCAAGGGCAGACACACCCCCGACGGCCAGAGGACTGGTAGGAGGAGCAGCCACAAGCGTGGTGGCGTAGTCAAGGCGGCGGGTGGAGGCAAAGTCAGTAACTGCGGCAGTAAGAGCGGACACAGAGGACACAGAGGCACGAGGGTGAGTAACAAGAGAGGCGAGAACACGAGAGAGAACAGGACGGTACGTGCGGTAGTAGTCAGTGACAGGAGTAGGGAGCGACACAGTGAGGGCCGACTCAGGAGGAGACGGAAGCACAGACTGAGACGGACGAGGTGGACTAGAAAGAAGAAAGGCAGTACGAAGGTCAGTGAAGGGAACAGGAGACGAGGGACGAGCACGAGGGGAGCGACGAGTAGCCCAAGAACCAGACGGAGGAGAAGAGGACAAGGGCGGAGAACTGGGGAAAACAGCGGGGGAGGAGTCAGGAGGAGGAAACGTGGGACCGTAGACAGGAGGAGAGGCGGAGGAGGGAGGAGAAGGGGAGGGGAGACCAAGGATCCGAAGACCCGAGACATGAGGAGGAAGTGGGTGCTGCTGCTGCGGCTGCGACTGCTGCTGCTGCGGACGCGGCTGCTGCTGGGACTGCTGCTCCTGCGGGTCCAGCTGCTGCTGCTGCTGCTCCTGCGGCTCCAGCTGCTGCTGCTGCTCCTCCAGCCGCTGTAACTCCCTCTCCTCTCTCTCCAACGCCAGCTGCTCGTCACGGGCACGGCGAACACGAGCCTGGTGCCTAGTCGGGTAGGGGTGGGGGGGTGGAGTAGTGTCCGAAGCAGCGGCAGCTCCAGAGTCCACCTCAGAAGAACTAGGCGCACCACCCCCAGAGGCAGCACTAACACCAGCTCCAGAACCAGGCTCACCTGAACCCGAAGGAGGCGCACCCTCACCCCCAGACGCAGCACCCCCAGTGTCCGCGCGGCCAGCACTAGCTCCCGGACGACAAGAGTCCTCTGCACCCACCGGGTCAGCTCCAACTCCAGAACCAGAAACTCCAGCTCCAACCCCAGCTCCAACTCCAGCACCCCCAGAACCAGAAACTCCAGTGCCAACTCCAGCTCCAACTCCAGCTCCAACTCCAGCACCCCCAGAACCAGAAACCGGTACAGGAACAGGCGCCGCACCAACCTCTCGAGAGCTAGCACCAGCGGCACGCTGCGAGGAGGACTGTGGGGAGGGAGGCTGTACCGGAGGGGCTACCGAAGGAGGAGGGGTAGCCTGGGACACACCTGACGGGGCTGGACCAGGGGGGGGAGGCTGTACCGGGGGAGCAGGAGGGGGAACGGCAGTCAGGAAGAGGGGGGGAGGAGGAACCGGGAGACCTCGACTGGGGTACCTGACGTAGTACGGAGTGGACTCCTCGAAACGGACGTCACGGGAGTCAAAGAACCGGTGAGAGGGAGGGTGGTAAAAGGTGAAGTCAGAGGAGTCCTCAGGGAAACCAAGGAAGACACAGGGGACGGCACGAGGCGAGAGCTTGTCCGCGGAGGTGTCGCGGACAAGAGCCAAGCACCCCCAGACACGAAACCGCGACGCAACACCAGGGGACCCTGTCCAAAGACTGGTCGGTGAAACCTCTGGTCGAGAGACACGTGGCCAGAGGTTCAGCTGGTGCGCGGCGTACCTGACCGCGTAGGGCCACAGAAAATGGGGGGCACAGGCGTGAGTCAGGGAGGTGCGGGCGATCTCCATGACCAGGCCTATGCGGCGCTCAGCAACCCCATTCTGCTGTGGGGACTCTGGAAGCGTCCAGGACTGACGAATGCCCTGCTCGCGACAGAATCCAGCGAGAATGTCGGAGCGAAACTCACCCCCACGGTCGGAGTGAAGACAGCTGACACGACGACCACGAGTGTCCTCAGTGGTGAGCAACCACCTGAT